ACACCAACATGAAACAGAGCATTAACCTCGAACAATTATTTTCAGTCCCGCCATGTCAAAAAACAAAAACAGTGGACTCCATTTAATTTTTGTAACAAATAACATCCGTTGTATACTATGATTTATTACGAGCCTATACAACTCAATGTATGGGGCGTAGCCAGCTTTTATCAACTTGTAGGTCCATAGAAGGGGGTCTGGGGTCTAAGCCCAAGAAGCCAAAAACAAGTTCAGATTAAAAAGAGCAAATTGCGCTTTCTAAAGTATTTTCAAGGAAAATTATCAAAACAATAACTCTAAACTATGACTTTGATTAGATGCCAACTTTATTGAGGACGGTAAATCATGCATCAGCCTAAAAGACACTTTATTGAACCATACGGCTTAAACACGCTACCAATTCCACCCACGTAAGTTTTTGCCTACATGGCCTTATAGTAGCTACGCCACTGGTGTATAGTTATTGTGATAACTTATACACCATTTACTATGGCAATTTAACTTTTAATTCTTTCAGCGATTTTAGTAAATAGACATATTCTACACACATTTTTACATTGTAAAAATATACGCTCGATTAATTAAAATTCTAAAATAAAATGAAATAAAACTTGCATAAAAAATGGTCAGAACATGCGTATCTTAAACTTCATCGTACAAATACTAAATATTATAATATTTTCAACGCTTACAAAATAGTGAAAATAAAACTAATATGTATAGCTTTAGAAAATTATAAGAAAAGAAATCAACACTCCAAATCACTAAAGGGCGTTTATCTGGTATGCTTTTAAACGTTGTAGTTGTTGAAATTATAACAATATTTGAAAACATTCAATACTGCGGCAATAATATGCACCCAAGACGGACATTTGATATACATGTATCGATGTCGTTATGTGATATACCCTAAGCAGATCTACGACTTGAACACTAACAAATACTACTTTACAAATACTACCCTACAGATCAATCTATTATGCTATAGTAAGCAAATTATGGGGTTTTTAAGATATCAATTGTCTTTGTTTATTATTTTTGCTGCTTTTCTTATTTTTCCACTTTATCGCTTTAACAAATAAATAAGCACGTATCTCTTTACGTCTGGACGCTATCTGATATAGGTCCGTCCCCAAATCAATATTAAATTGTTTGGTTTTTAAGTTGTAGATATATATTTTTTCAAAACGTTTGTTTAAGGCGAAACGTGTATAATAGGTGTTGAGTTAAAATTTTGAGAGGGATTTTTTAAAAGGTAAATTATTTTTCAAATTTTTGAATAAATGCATTTTAAAGGTTGAGCGTAGAAATTTCGTTTCTGTTAATTTTAGGATATAAACCATTGTTTGAACACTTTGCTGTTTCATTTGGCTTGTTTAACTTTTTTATCATTTCGATAAAAGAAAGGTATAGGATAGCTTGATGCAGCTAAAGATGTTGCACTTCATTGAAATTATTGCAAAATGAAATACAAAGAGAGAATTAAGATAAATGAATAATTTGCAATTATAGTCAATTGCACAGTTTAGTCTTCCTATTATATATTATTGCAATGAAAGCATTATATTAATGTTTTAAGAACGATATATGCTTCCGTGGTTTTTTACTTTAAAATAGGTATATCAAATATGTCAAATTTCACGACGATAATAAAACGATGATTTTATAAATACAGGATAAATGCATTAAGACACAGCAAGTGTATGTTAAATACATTCGTAACTTTACATGTTTGTCGATTTTATACCTATTATTTATAGCTAAAATAGATTGATATACAAAGTATTTCAATCGGCCAAGATAAAACAAAATACCCCACGTAAAGAAAATACCGTATGTTATAATTGTACATAGAATAAAAAAGACATAATACCACATAATTAACTTCTTAACAAAATACAAAACATAACACGTAGTGGCATACAGTAATGAATAAAATATTGACATATCTATATTATTTTAAAGCGAAAGACTTTGCCAAAGAATACGGGAGGCAACCGTTTCAATACTATCAACGACAAATTCATTAATAGTCGTTTTGCAACAGAATGACTCGGCATATTCTGGCGAGTCTTCATTTATCAATAAGCCACGCGACAGTAGAGCTATGATGCAACTTTATTTAGTTAATTAGTGAATAATGAACGTATTTCTAGTTCCGTTTTACGGCGAGTTGACAAAACCAAGTTATAAATCTCAAAGGTATTTGGTGCAAACAGTATATTTTAAATACGTAAAATATTTAAATAAAAGTCAAATAAACATTATTGATCTTATCATAATATATCAGCTTTCATTATTCCAAATCGTAGAAATTATTTATTTATTGAATGGAAGTTCAAGTAAACAATGCATGGTAGTAAAATAACTGAATCAAATAGATTTAACATATGCTTTTACGGCGAGTTGACAACACAAAAATATATATCTCAAAAGAATTTGGTGCTTGCCCTTTCTAAAGAAGTAAAATTCTAAGGCATAATATGCCTTTAAACATTGGCAGAATAATAAGAATCCGTACGCCTTCTACAGTATATGAATTATACCGTCATTCATCAAGAGGTTGTAAATTCAAACCAAACGCGAAAATTGAGGCGCGAAAAAATCATATATTTTCGTCAAATTGTATATCATAAAGTAAACGCGCGGCGTTAACCTATACAGTACGAGTATTCAGTTAAGAAAACGACGTTTATCTTAAAAAGCAGAAAATTAAAAGTTGTTCCTTAAAAACACATAACTTTCACAAAATAAAAACAACAACAGAAAACACTGACATAAACAAATAAAATGTAATATTAATAAAAATAATAATGAAAAAAAAAAGAAAAAAAAAAGAAAAAAACAGTTTTAGAAGATTTGCAAAGCTAGAATATAAACATAGATATCTTCGAGAACAACCATGTTCTCTGAAAGTTAGTGCAATCATAATCATTACAGTCTCCCATTAATGTGCGTTACAAATGTATATTTTAAACATAATAGCTGTCGCTATGATAATAACAACATTACAAATGTAGCACCGGGATTGTTTATGTATCAATGAACGCGCTGATGAATTCATTCAGCTCAGATCATTTTACCGATTTAATAGGGTTGAGGGCTATCAGTTTCAAAGTGGAACAATATCGTAATAGTTTTGTTTACAGAATTCGATACACGCACCAGGATGACTGGGTGAAACTGCGTCTTAGTTATTAAGTCTGCACGAATTTTATCATTTTTGAAAATAAGTGACAAGGTAAATACATAATTAGGACAACATTATTAATGTTGTTCGGTTCATGTCATTTTTTGAGCGAAATGTTGGTATTTTTTAAAGTTGCGTTCTTAAAGAATGAATGTTTAACCACGGGTGGCTTATTTAAAGGTATTTAAGGATCCCGTAACACAATTTTTTATATCATAAATATGATGCTCAAATGAAGATATATCAATATTGCAACTTTGAAAAAGCATTATATTTTGTAAAATATTACCGAATCTACATTTCATGTAAATAAAGGGAGGTAATTAGAAATTTATTTTCGATAAAGTCTCAGCCAAATTTTTCAGAAATAAGTGCATACATTTTAATGATTACTTATAATGCGCATAAAGATTTGCAATACATATTTAACATATTCTTGGATTGTTTAAGAAGAATTATATGCATATACAAAATTTCACTTAAGTGTTGTTACGTCCTTAATTATAACATACAGGATCTTTAAGTTTATTTGTTAGATTATTACATAGCGTCCGGTATAAAATGTTTTTTTTTATTCCTTGAACTCATCGACAAATGCGAACATCCATATAAAGATTATATTTAATGAATGTAGGATCCTGCGTCAATATATCCCTAAAAAGCCTACTTGGATGCGTTCGAGTGGATGCATAAAACATAAATTACTGCCTTAAATCTTGCTGAACTCCATAAAAAATTGTAGTAAACAAGTGTTTGTTATATAAGAAATTAGAAGTAAATACTTTGGTTTAGTAAAGAATTTGGGCTGCTTTAATAAATTGTTGGACACCATGAAGCAGAGGTTGGACACCTTGAGTTAGTATAGTTGGATCACTTTTAATAACAAAACATGCATCCTTTAAACGCCTGGAAATAGAAAGTGATGTAAATCCCTGCTTTAATGAGCAAATATGCACCAAATTTATAGAAAATTGACTGCTCACAAAATAGGTTGTCACGAAAACTGAAAACCATGGAAATCTTCATTATTATTTCACATTTGAAACACGTTCCTTTAAGATATTGAACTATTCCCGTGTTCTAATAAAGTACAATACAACTTTAAACGATTTTTATCAGCTTGGCTGCTTATCATATCATTCGGCCTATAAGATATAGAACAGAAAAAGAAAACCGAAGTGTTCATCTTTTATAATTTGTTGCGGAGGAATAGTGAAATAAGATATATTTTTAACTCTGAATAAAAAACTTTTATCTATATTCGTAAAGGTCTAATTTTATCGTTTAGTATATACAAACGATTAAGATATTTTCCTCGTTTACATCATAAATGGTCGATGCGCTAATTTTATATGTTTGTAAACAAACAAAAAAAAACCCATCTAAAAACAAGTTAAAGCATTCATGGCAATACGAGTTGTCTTCTTTCTGTTACACAAATATTCAATACATTTATCTAAGAAATAAATATCTCCCCACTCTTAAAGTTCAGTGACCAAACGTATGGATAGGCGTTTTGTTGTCCTTTTTTACTAAAATAGTTTATCTCTAATATAAAACAAATATGTTCATTTGAAGTAACTAATGACAAATTTCAAATTCCTGTCACTGAAATTAAAAACAAAACCAATCATAAAGAACCAAGTGATCTATTATGAATGTCCTATCTTTTGCCTTTATTTCTAGAACTACTTTTCAATATCTCTTTGTTTGATTTGGCCTGGCAACTGCTTCAGATTATCGACCCTGATTCTAGTCTATTTATAGCGCTTACTCGTACTTGTTTACAAGCTGGAAGTCAATGTAACATCACGCAATGCATCCCCTAATCATGACTCATTCGTCTGCGCAATTTGCTCCTTATTTTTATGCAAATTATTGGAATATTTTCGCGTGTCTCACGAGAACTGCTACGAGACATTCTCGGACAATATCCCATATTTACTCGCAGACGATATTACGTCACGTGCGTAGAATGGAGTAATAATACTGTCATTTCTATATTTGAGTTATACATTACTGTAAGGAATAAAGCGTAAGTTTTTGATTACTTTAATTTTGAATAGTAGCATTAACTTTCGTCAAGCGTACCTTGAGCGCAACTCTTATTACTTACGTATCTAAGTAAAAGAAATGCACATAAATATATCATTTTCATTGTACTATAATTTGAATATAGAACATAAATACTACAACGTATTTGTTGAACTGCATTTTTTTCAAGTCTAGAGAACAACAAAACTAGTTTTTAATATGACTCATAAAGTTTGCCTTGTTACCATTCGTTTAAAAAAATACTGACGAATTCGCAAGTAAACTGACTCTGGCTTTGAACAAAATATAACCACCGCTCAAACATGCTTAGTAATAATTTCAATACATAAATATCGTATGTTTCAAAGAGAGGAAAAGAGGACAATACGAACTGTTGTTTAATGTTAATCAATGTAAAACTAACATCAATAGATAAATACGCGTGTGATGATATAGTATTTATTCCCTCGAGATTGCAAGGCTGTTCAATTAGCCGCCACCGTTATTGCTTTAGTGTTTATCGTCAAAGCACCGCAAGACGATTTAGTAGACAACTGATTAGTGTTTATCTTTTATAATTACGTTAATGGTTTTAATCAGCCTAGATTGCATTCATTAATGGTTTAATGGTTTAGTTATGGTAATTATGGATATCAATGGGCAGTAATTGAATAAACTTGGGCTTATCGAGAAATGGTTAAACACTGTAATTAAGTTCGTGATGTCATGAAACAATGCTTAAAGCACGCGGAATAATACACTATTGTGAATAAACTGCTGCCTGTTCTTGTTTGAATGCAAAAAAAATACATTATTAATATTTTATAACAGTATTTTGTCGTACCGCATTCATTGGTAATCGTTACTCATAACACTGCAAAAAATGATCTTTGATGTTCAAACTAATATTAAGTCACTCATGAATCTTTTATGAAATGTGTCTGTATCCAACAAAGTTTGTTTTACTATGAATCAATATAGAGTATTTTTGTCTTACAATTTCAATATTGTTTGTAAATTTAGATTGGTTATGATTCTGTATGTTATTTTCCTATTTATAGATACAAATGAATGTAGAATTGAGGATATGCACCGAGCAGCACTTTAATCATATTAACCAAAATATGAATTTACATGTACATTGATATGATGATATGTTATTATAATAAAAGTGGCCTTCAGCTTTTTTAAAGTAAATATGTCATCTTTAAATAAATCGTTGCATATAAGGATTGAGATTGAATGTGATATTTGCCGTCAATAAAATACATAAACAATAAATAAACCACTCCGATACCCCTAATCTACCGGTCCGCTCTCTACGTTTCGTTTCTCGATCTTCTATTTTTAGAAACAAACGTCACTGGCTCGCCATAATAAGCTCTCGGGTTGCTGTTTTAAAGAAGGCTTAACAGTGATATGACGCATTTTTCCATGATAAAATTACTGAAAAATTACTGAAATGCGTTTAAAAAACAAAACAAAAAATAATTAAAAAGAAAAAGCTGAAGGCCGCTTTAATATATTATAATTAGGCACACATTGTTGACATATCTAGAAATAGTTACTTATCAATCACAAATAAAGCGTATAATTCACATCTAAATCTTTTTGGTGAATCATATGGCAAAAAATGGTAATACATTTTAATATATCTGAAATGCCTGTTAACATCTGTCTGTCTCATTATCAACAGTATTGACTAATGAAATACAAAAAAAAATCCCATTGCCGCTTTGTTTGACATGAAAATCAATATCATACAACTTGTGCTTAGCATGATGTCGCGCGCATAATTAAGGGCATCAGAAAATATCCCCTAACATTGAATTCACTCGATGGAAGTACCTTCAAAGAAATAATCAATAAAAGTTTTGCGGGAATTATACGTTATGTAACGAACATGCTCTGTGAAGGAAACGAAATAAAATTATATTGATGTTTTAACCGGCGGCGAGGGGAGCAAAATAATAAAGCATATGTATAAGCAATTTGTAGAAAAAGGAACAAATGAGTAAATACGACTTATCTTAAGGTTATTTACAATTTAGCAATTTTGGTCTTGCCTTACAAAAAGCTATATGAGCAAAGACGTTTATCGCTTTTACCAAAATCTTACCTCTAACCAAATATCTTTCAACAATTAAAAATTAATGCCGAATCATTTCGGTTAAAAACTAGAAGAGATAGAATAAAAATAATACGATTACACTACAATGCCCTTTCGTTCCTGTTCAAATATGGCGTCGATTATGACGTTATTATCACTTCTAACTTTTTACTGAGTACGACTAAATCATTGTATAATTTTCTACATGTATTTATCTGCACAAATATAAAAATAATATTAAATTTTGATCTGCAAGGCAAGATATGATTTGGCACAGAATAATAGTTTAATATAAGCAAATATTTGTATGTCACATGTAAATTAAGTGGCCACTACAGCATATCTTTATTCCACTTTATCAATGATATCTTTCCGCTCACCCGATCTTCAATCTCCTTTCAGATAGATGTCTTAGACGTAGCTCAATACACTTCGAATGGCTACCACGAAGTCAAGTCACTCTCCACAGGACAACATTTTATGCTGTCCAATATGTATGGACATATACAAGACACCTCGCATGTTACCATGCCAACACACACTTTGTGAATCCTGCCTTCATTCATACATCGTCAACAAGTCACGTGAGAGGGTCTTAGTGTCCGACTTCCCATGTCCAGTTTGTCGAGCGCAAACACCTGCACCACGCGCCTTTACCCGCATTGACACCTGGTCTACTTTGTTCCCGCTGAACCATTTGCTTGTCTCGTTGCTTGACTCAAGCTTCCATGAAATGCTCGAAAAACGCGAAACTCCGACAGCTGTTGAACGTTGTGCAGAGCATGCAGGCAAACTGATTGAATTCTTCTGTGTCGAACACAATGTCAAATTGTGCAGCAAGTGTTTCAAAAATGCACATCGCCAGTGCGAAGTTCTCGACATTGAAGAGCACGCTGAATTCACAACCAGATTCACAATCGTCAAGACTGACGTAGAAAACCTACTAGTTTATCTAAATGATGCCATCTTGCATCTGAAGTCGAACATAGAGCAATTGTCTACTGAAAAGACGTCCATTATGACGGAAGTAAAAGATTTTCGCGGGAAAGTAGAAGCGTTGCTTAATTCCTTTGAGACTGACATCAAAGATCAAGTTAATGTACAGCACGACGGAGAAGTTGTTGTTTTGAAAGCTCAATGTGAAAAATACGAGCGGATAAAGGCGGAGATAGAAACGTCAGGAAAAACATTAAGTGAGCTTCCTGTCTCGTCACAATCGTTCGAGATGATCTCAACGATCGAGAATGACATCAAAAGTCAATCATCTTTCATACACGGGTGTCACTCAAATATAAAAGTTATCAAAGTAGAATTTGCCATTGAAAATGAACTACTTGCCTTTCTAAACTCCTTTAGTAAACTAGGAAGTGTCAACGTAAATCACTTTGAATCAAACTTGAAGGTACCCCCAGAATTAATGTCAAGGGGCAATACTCTGAACGAGTCATTCATCCCTTCACCTCGAGACGTTTCTGCTGATGACCTCCCTTCACGATCGCCTATACGTCATGTTTCGCCACGAGCGATAATAATAGCGCGTCCAACATTAAATGACGCAACTTCGAGCCAGTCTGGAACAAATACGGAACAAAGACCACATCGCGCGCATAAAGAGCCAAAGAGACCAAAAACCGTGCCTATTGAGTCCACTGCTCCAACACCGGTAGTCCGACCACGTCCTGAACGGCCAGATATCCATGGAATACGTCACTTTCTGCCTAGATCATGCTCGAGTCCTAAACGAAACCAAGACTATAGTCACAATACGGAGATCAATATTGCGCCAACAAACGAAGCAAAGGAAAATGTTGTTGATTTGAGTGATGACGAAGATTCGGTATTTTCAACTGGTCAAAGTGAAGCAAACTCCAACCAAGATGCCGCTGGAATAAACGGCTGCGAAACACCCGGTGACGTTGAGGCAAAGACATTACCCGGAGCTTTGACTAAACCTCCAACAAGTGAAAAACCAAAGAACCGTGTCTGGCATTATGTTAATGTAATGTCGGGAGTTGGTGACATTTCTAGTAGTAAGCGTATGTCTGAACGTGCTGAAAATGATGAGAGTGCCAATGGAAATACGAAATTTCTGTTTCGTCATAGATCTTCATCTGCATCAAGCATGAGCCCCGAAGTAAAACCTATCGTTTCGTCTGCCATCAATCAACTCGCTCGTTTATTCCGACCAACACAAGCTGACGATAACCCTGCGTCGCCACTTTACGAAAATTCTTCCATTTACTCCGCCTGTTCAGCTCAGAACAAGTGTAATTCAAAAACATTAACATTTGAACCAATAACAAGTAGCAACACTACGCCGAAACAATGCACTAAACTGAAAAGTGTGGTTATTAAGGTTGAAGGAGACATAAGAGAATGCACAATTACTGGCTCCGTTGAACTTCCTGATAAAAGACTTATTCTAATCGATTGTAACAACAGTCGCGTCAAACTTTTCAATCACGAGTTTTCATATGTAAGCCATTTAGATATGGCAAAGGAACCGTGGAATGTCGCATGTTTATCTTCAAATGAAATTGCTGTAACGGTTCCGCTCGAGAAGACAATTCATGTCATTCGTGTTATTGGGTCATCAATGAGTACACAAAGATGCATAGTTACACGACGTGAATGTTGGGGAATCGCCATTGTTGACGGAAAATTTGTTGTGACAACAAAAGATGATGGGAACCAAGTGGCCTTTCTTGACGACAATGGCAGAGAGCTTCAAGTGGTCAACTTTGCTTCCAGGGAAAATCCTAATATCTTGAGACCTGTATCAGTTACTCGTTCAAGAACAGATCACGTGCTCTACATCTGCTGCGAGGGCCAGTCTGGGACTAAAGGGTCTCTTGTGCGGATGTCAACTCGAGGTGATGTTTTGTACGTGTTCACGCATAAAGAGCTTGATCGTCCTTATAGTACAGCTGTCGACCGGGAAGATAATGTATATGTCACTGCCATCCGTTCTGCAAATGTCCTCATGTTATCAGAGGGCGGGGCTTCTGTGATGACGATTCTGTCACGTGATCTCGGATTGACACGCCCGCAACACATCCATATTTCAAACCGAGATGATGGGTCATTCCTCGTTTTGACGGAGCGTCGTTCAGACAAAGCAGACGTATACTGTCTGAAATAAAATGATCTCGGTCTTTCCATGCCATCCTGTATATCCATCGCTGTCTTCATCAAATATCGCATAGAAGCAGATTTTTTTTATATCTTTTCTTTAAATGAAATAAATCTAACCTAAACATTGGTCAAAATGTCTTCCAATTTGATAAAATTATTAATCGTTCCAAGCGAACATTAACATTATTACCAATACAGAGAAACATACACTTGCATTACGTGATTAAGTAATTCAACACGGTTTAAGGGTCTATGAGATCAAAGTTTCTTTTAAGGTTGTTTGCAAACTATAGAAAGTCTAAGTGTGGAGTATATCGAGTGCTGCATAGTTTTATCAGTTTTTTTTGACTGTTGTGTGTGTTTGAAGTGAACTTATTTTAATAACTTTACTTTGCTTTTATAATTTCTGTACAGTTATATTTATACGTGTTTTATAGTTGATTATAATTGTTGTCCATGTGAGTGAATGTTCATATATACATATATTGTATTTGATGGGAAATCAAAAATAAAAGCTTTTTATAATTTACTACAGAACTGGTTTAATTACGTTTTATTTAATGACAAACTGGATATTGTCACGCAAGAACAAAATGGCTACAATTAAACAAAAAGAAAATAATTTTCAGAATTAAATTCCTCAATGAAATTAAATATTTAAATAATTTTGTCTTTATATCAAATATTTCAACATGTCTACAACATTAATGTTGTGAGTATTTTTTTTTATAAAATTGATTAATAAACACGGATGTAAACGCATTAAAATAATACTTTATCAGTTTGTATATATAAATCAGCTTCATTTGAATATTTTTGCATATATTATGTATAGATTATTTAAAAATTCTCGTTTTGAAAATTAATTTTTTCCCCATCCATATCCAGCATCCCTCATCAAGATCAATCAAAGTGATGGAAAGCAGTCGGTGAAAAACATGTATTTCTTATCTAAGTATCATCTATATATAATACGTACATTTGTATTCATCTTGATCTGGTGACGGCCTGGTGAATTTTCGTGTTCTTTGTTCTATAGTAAATCAGTCACATTTGAGGCTTAATTCTGGATTCCACTGTTCTTGATGAATTATATACTGTCTTCAACTTTAAACATCAACACTACTTAAGTCAAATGAGGCCCAAAATATAATAGGTTAGCCATCTACTTTTTTCAGAAATCTTCACTCTGTTGTAACACAGTTTAAATTCACCACTTTGAAAACTCCTGACTGCTGGTGGGTGGTACATCTTTAATCCTTCCGCCAACAAATGAGTTCCTGGAGAATACACAAAAAACAACTTTTAAACACATCATATAACACACAAAAACTACACACATGCAATAAATACACTTTAATTATGACCAATCTAACTAGAGATGACTTAAATTGGGCCACTTCAAAATTTTAAAGAACTACTTTCTAGACTACAACGGGTTGGGTCTAATTCCGTACCGGGTTGAGACCATCTGCGCCTCGGACATCCAAAATCAATCTATGCACGGATTGATACGGTACAGTACGGAATATAACCAATAATTTTGCAAAGTTACTTCCCTTTTATTATCTACCCCATTTGTATCGTTGAAATTAAACAAATACAAATACAAGTATGCAAACAAAAAGGTAGAACGGCAGGTTAGATTAAGAATCATATTTATCACAGGGCCTTGTATTCATCTGTTTTAATCATAAAATAAATCACAACTTTGTGATAACTACATTTTTCATTCGACAACTCTTATAGTTGTCTTACGAAGAAAATTTCTACAAGACTATGCTTTTCATTTCTAAAAATAGTAATTATCTCACATAATTTTAACATATTTCATTTCTGTTTCATAGCTATTAATACGGTTTCTCTGTTAATAATCTGAGCAGTCCATACAAAGATTGAAGAAGAGGTTATACAAGACCAATTTGAGCAGGTATTTTTAATGTATTATCGTATAAGTACCTAATCTCACACCCAACCTATTCTCAAACCTTTCATTCATGTGCTGTTATTTTTTTACTAGAAGTGACTATGATGTCCTGAAATTGAGTGCATAAAAGCTTAGTTTCTGACAGACATGTCTGCTGATGTCAAATGAAAACAGTGCAAAGGAACAAATATTTACATTACATATTTCATTACTTAGCGTAATTTCATACAAATTGCTATTACTTTTGTAAGTCCCGTTTATACACCATTAACTATTTGTGAAAATGAATATTAGAAACAAAAATATCTTAAAGCAGACACCTGCATCCTGTAGGGCACTTTATTGTCATGTGATAGTCATATAACAATCACTTCATTGGCTAAACTAAACAGTGAAAATTTAGAGATACTTGAAGGGGTTTGAGAATAGGTTCTTTATTTTCAGAAGCCATGTCAGTTTTAAAAAAGAGGGTTGTGCTTTTCCAAGATGGATAAAGCGCTTTTTTAATAGTTGAATTTCAGTGAAAATTTAGAGAAATATTACATGGAGATTAAAGTGTACATATGTAAAGAATTTTTATAAAGATATATTTTTATTTATACTAAAAGACCTCTGGAATGCTTAGAGGTTTGAGAACTGGTTAGTCCACGATAATATTCACTATTAAATCAGAGATGTAGATAATAGAGATAAGCAGCACCTATATACACCATTGAAATATCACTCATGCCTGTCAAAAAGTGAAAAAATAGGCATTTTGTAGCAAGTTAAACTTAATGGATGTACATTTGATACTTTTATATTATACTCCATTTGAAAGTTAAATTTATCTTTTATCTATGGCTGCATGTTAAAATATTGGTACTTGTAACTTTCCATGCCTTTCACTTAGAAAAACTTAGCAGAACATACCCACTGAGTCAGTTTTTCTGTCATATGAATAGTTTTGTAACAAAAATAATTAAGTAGTTCTCTTTAAAAATTGATGGATCATTTATTTAAATGAGAACTGTAAATATTTTTACCTGCAGCCATAGACAAATTTATAAGCTTTTAGAAAATGTATTAATTTACTGATTTTGATATCTGGTTAATAAGTTTTACTTGCTAAAAGTTTTAAGTTTAGCAAGCACACATCTCTGTTATCTTTGTCTCTGATTAAATCAAATTTATCTATTATCATTTCTTCATACGATCATAGAGATTAGAATCTATACAAATGATGGTTATCCCAGCTTTGGAGACAACCTATTACCTTATAATCAGGAGGTCAAAATCCTTCAATATTCCAGTCAATGCGAAGGACACAGGGTTCTCACTAGGACTTTAAAACATGGAGTCCATGGACTCCCAACCCTGAAAAAGTTGGAGTCCAAAAGCACGTCGCAATTAATATGTTTACAGATTAGTCATTCAATGTTCACAATAGCATTGCTGATATTTTGAATGTTCAAGAGACTTCCAAAGTAAATAGTTATTCAAAAGAAACTCTGAACTACATAGTATAATTATTGTTTTGTTGTTAATATTTATTATGAAATTATTTCATTATAATGCATCAACCCATGGAAATCTTCTTTTTTTTCACTTTTATACCAAATCAAATTTTTCTCTGGTTAAATAAGTCCACTCTTAAGACAAAAAGTTTGTATTTGTTAAAAAAAAAAACGTAAATGTATATAGGCAGCGTTTAGCGGAATGAATAGGAAAATCGTGTACAGATTCACACAGTGTGTAAGAGATTCATCCGATCGATGATTATTTTAGCAAATATCTTCAAAAGGGGGCAAATTAAAGATCGACATTTAAAGATTTAATGTTGATTCAATAATAAAGAAACAATTCATTCGCATGTTTGGCTTGGAAACCGAGAATTTTTGCGAAATTTTAGGGTTTCTGGCGAACGTGAAATCGCCGATGTTCGGGATCAATTTTCGGATAGAGAAAAGGGTATGTGTACCTGGCATTTGGGCACAATATCTTAAATTCTTAATACTCTTATAGAAAGTTTTTGCAAGAATGAAACTAAAGCAAAATTGTGCCTAGAAAATGCCGAAAATATTCGACAATCATTATAATGCCGAAAATATTCGACAATCATTCAAAATTACACTCAATTGTAATTTGAGAAAACAGTCTTTAAACTTGCTGCGTAAATAGTCGATAATTTTATCCTTTTGTCGGTAAAATTTGCTAATTTCCAATCAACTGTTGATCAAAGATATAAAATTATCACCTCGTGATATATCTGGTAATTACATGTACTGTACAGCGCGTGTATACATTAGTCTGATCACTATTGCGTGATAATGATCGGAAGCGTTATCGCTGATTGGCTAATTGCTTCACGGGTCGATGTGCATAGGACCGCCTACCTATAGACTGACACGCGCTGACGCATTTGTGTATTTGTGGTTGTAAACAATCGGTAATGTTTATGCGTCCCCGGGCAAAATTAAGCGTACGTGGAATCCTTGCTCTGAAATATTTGCGTCCAGCTGCAATAAACATGCGTACCGGGACGCCGAAATAAGCGTCCCCGAGAACCCTGGGACATGAAATATTTATTAGACAGTTGGTCTGGCGAACTTTGAAAGTTTACCAGAACAAAATTAATTTCATCAGACCAAAAGAAATCGGAACAATTGGTATAAACATATTTATTTATTAGTTCAAATGCGAAACAAGTTCTTGCAACTTATATTAATCACTTTCGAGTCCACTTCTTAGAACCAACCAGTACTGGTGTCATATGGAGAAACATGGTCGTGACCCGAGTAAGGCTCGAAACCCATGATCTCTGGGTTGAGAGGCAGACACCTTAACCACTAGGCCATCGCTCCCCTTAACTATCGGGACAACTTTGCACTAAATATGTTATTTTAATACTAGGACATGTGGCCCTACCCTTTATTTGGGGGTGGGGAAATAGTGAACACTTTATTAACTTGAAAGAATGAAAATGCTGTACAAGTTCAATACACTTGATGGAAAACAAAATATATCATAATGATCACAATCAAGAATTTTGCTACAAAAGAAAAAAAAAATCCCTTATTTCATTGATAGAATATGTATTTTGTGACATGAAGTATTCATTAAATCATTTGAAATGTATTTTTATTATTTCAGAAGAAACAGGTATGTCAAGTCTCTTGTCACAGTTGCAGAGTTTTAACAAGAAACAGCTGCGCAAAACAGGTACTTACTGTATGAAAATCATTATTGTATATTGCTAGTAATATTTTTTGCTAAGCAAGTACATGTAGTTATAACCAGTATTTATATAATTGCAAACTTCAAAGCTTGCATATAAAATGACTTGTGATTGTCTGAAATAACTACCTACTATAAAGAACAAGCATACAAATAATTCATATTATCTGAAACTTTGCATTTACAACAATTAAAATGGAGAATGATAATAATTATTATTAATTGTTATTTTTAATGAGTAAAAAAGTCATATTTTTAAAAAGATAAATAAGTGGAAGACTCTATTTCAGACATTATTGAGAATAAATATTCTATTTAAGATATTATTTAGAGTAAATATTCTATTTCAGACAATATTTAGAGTAAATATTTCATTTGTAATATCATTTAGAGTAAATATATTACATAAGGTCATCTAATCATTAAAAGTAAATACTATATTTCAGACACGATTAAGAGTAAGCATGTATTTCAGACATGATTAAGAGTAAATATTCCATTTCAGAGTACATCTTCTATTTCAGACACAGCTGTAAGAACAGAGGATGGTAGAGTTATACGGGAGTATAAGGATGACTCTGGAAACATCAGAACAGAGGTCACTAACCGAGACCAGTATGGGTTTGTAGCGGACGTCCTAATGGACTTTCAAGTTGGGGAAATCAGAGACAATCTCATATTTGGTAAGTTAAGATTTTATTTTTTACTTCATTAAATTATAAGGCAAAATTTTTATTTAACAGATAAGATGTTATAAATTTTTGAGACCTTTTAAGGTCTTGATATCAATGTCAAGTTTTCAGGGATTAAACTAATTTGATCTTAATGGTCAATCTAAGTTTTGGTAAATGTTGCTACAAGTTTGTCAGTTTGTGCTTAAATAAAATAATCCAGCAGTAGATTAATTTCAATGACTTTTATGTGTTTTCATTGCATTGAAAAAAAAGAATATGCATTTATCATTCACCTGAGCATGTGCAAGGGACCTATGTGAAAATAGTCATTAATATTTGGTTGTCTATGTGATATTACTGCAAAATCATTATTTTTCTTAATTCATTTTCGGGATTTTCGTTAATAGATCAATCCTAGGTGTATCACTAGTATATTTGTGCTTGATTATGTATTTCAGAGTTTCAGATAATTTCAATCTGTTCCATCACGTTTTATAGAGTTATGTCCCTTTTAAATGGCAAAGCTTGCATTGACATTATATTTCTGTATCTTTATTCAGTAAGTTTTACTGTTTTATTTGTTTTTGCCTAGGCTATGCAAATCATAAGCAACCAATATATCTTGGTTTCCTTTGTTGAACTGGCTTGTAGATTTATGGACTTGAAAGGGCCAAATCAATGTATGTACTTTTTAAAATGTTTAATTCCAACTCTTAAATTCTTTATAAAGATAGCTTTATTTGTCTTTTTTTACAGGCTCACAAGATGTGGCTGCCGAGTGGGATATTCTTGCTAGATATGGAGTTACGCACATCGTCAACATAGGAACGTATGTGAAAAACTATTTCCCAGACAAACTCAAATACCTGAATGTCAAGGTCAATGACACACCTGATACAAAAGTTCTTAGCTATTTCGATGACACTTTCAAGTTCATTGACGAAGGTAGACAAAGTGGTTGCGTGTTCCTACACTGTAATGCCGGTGTTAGTAGGGCATCTACGTTCACAACCGGATATCTTATGAGAACGGAAAAAATGACATACGAAGATGCCTTTTCGTATGTGAAAAGTAAACGACCATCGGCTCGACCTAATGCAGGTTTTGTTGAACAGCTTAAAGAGTATGAAAAAACACTAGGTCTGTCAAAAGAATAGGAGAATAATATCATAATTCTTTCATCCGTCCATTGACTAAGTCTCTTTTATTTTAATAATTAGTACATGGTCAAGATCACAGAAAAAAATTAAAGTACATGTATTGCATCAAACAATAAGTCATGTTAATGCGGAAGCCAAATGGTTAAAGGAAATAGGAGTTATGTTTTTAAGCTAGCCAGGTCTGTGATTAAATCGAATAACTCAAAATCAATAACTGTTGTTTGGTGAATAACTACAATAACTGTAGTTTTGTTAACATATACAATAATTTTAGTTTTGTGCATAACTACAATGACAGTAAAATGTTTTACACATAACTACATTAACTGCAGTTAAGTGCATAACTCTGTTTCAAAACGTCATATATCATCATAATAAGTTTATTCAGACCTCAAAATTGAAAATAAGTTATCATATTTCACAAATCATTATAATTCTTTGGTAAAACTAGTTGGTGGTAATGGATTACCTATATTTTAAAGCATGGCCAATCTGCAAATTGGCACAGTTTGATTAATTATGTTATTTGCAAGCTGCATGAAATTAATTAAATTACTTATCTTAAATTAGCAACATAGATTTTTGAGTTTTATAGCTAAGTGAGTGCAAAACACAAGTTACAGGTAATCTTAAAATTAAAAGTTTGTATAATTGTGTTGAATTAAGCATTCATTTTGTACAATGGTGTCAAATTAAGCTCATGATTTGTAAAATGGTGTGAAATTAAGCTTACATTTTTTGCAATTGAGTTGTGTCAAATAAAGCTTAATAATAATTTGTACGATGGTGTGAACTAAGCTTATTTTTTGTACAGTTGTGTCAAATTAAGCTCACAATTTGTGAAATGGTGTGAAATTAATCTTGTATTTTGTGAGTCATGTTAACTTAAGCTGAATAATAATCTGTATAATTATGTCAAATTAAGCTTATAATTTGTAAAACGGTGTCACATTAACCTTAAAATTTCTATAATTTTGTACTTATCAAACATATTTTTGCACTTGTAAAATTTTAATCAAAATTAACTACTGAAACATATCATTTTCTTTTAAAGTTATTTATCTTTATTTTTTATACTTAAAAGAAATATTGAGAAATATTGATGAAATGAAAATTTTATAAAATGTGTATTTTTATTTTCCGTATTTTCATTGTAAAAGTTAATTTTTCACTACTGTGAAACATTTTTTCTGTATTTTGAATGTTGTCTTGCCAGACTTCTGTCAACCAGTACACAAAATTAAAAGGAATTCTTCCTATTCATAAGATTAAAAAAGACAAAAGTTAATACAGGATTTACTTTCATCTTGTGGTATGAAAATTATCATATTTATTTTCATACCACTCAATGAAAATAAATCCTATATTTATAGAAGAAACTTTAATATGCTCTATTTATTGTATTATATCACATAATTATGATTAAATATTTATACTTATGCATTTATTTATGCGACTGTGTATAACGTTTAGTGGTGCCAAATTAAATGTGATATAATTTTGTTGTGTCTATGATTTCACTTATTTAAACATTATATTTTCATATTTGATTTTCATTTTCTATTATATATTGATGTTGCGCAGTTATTTTGTGTACCCAGCTTATTTCTTTTTTTAGAACAAAATAATGAATGTTATGCCAATGAGTATTAAGTTCAATAAAGTGGTTATAACATTCGAGTTTGCATTTACAATGTTTTTTTTTTTATGAAATATAGGCCATTTTTTGCTTTGTTGTTTCCTCCATGAATTAGAGGCCAAATGATTATATTTTATCCTAACTGAAAAAAAATGTTGAAAATTTAAAATTTAACCAAAAAAATCAACCCAGAATCAGGAAATGATGATTGTTACCCAACCAATTGCGTTATTTTACCATATGCACCTGTTAGCGATAAATAGCTTTCAATAAAATTCACCCTTAGAAATTTGTAGATTTTATTTAAATTTTGAAAAGTGAATGTTTATCTATTTTTTGTTTGTTTATAAATTCCCAAATTTTAAACGATTTCCAAATTGCAATTCTCATTCCAAAAGGAATTGACAGCTGCACTGGTGTTTGTGGTGTAAATACTTTAACTTTAAATAAATCAAAGTGCTGTAAGCACTGAATGAGAAAGACAGGAAATGCCGAGTATCACTTGGCAAATTTTGATAACATAATTATAAAACGCATTTTACAGAAAAATAAATGCGATATGTTAAGGTTTTATATTCATTTATTCATATATTGCGCATCTATGCAGTGACTTTTAATTTATCAGGGAATGTTCTGCTGTTCTGTTCTGTAATTATATAGCTGTGCACTGTATATCCGTACAGCAGGATGTGAAAAGGCCTTATTAGCCATATTATTTCGGTTTGATATACAATATAATATATCGGCCCGTTTACATACCATGGTATGTTCTTCCATGGATTGCACTTTTCTTTTTGCATAATTACTGCACAAGTTTTACATTTACTGCGTTACAGGTGCACCAGGTATTATATCAATAGTTCTATACTTAATCATTTAATTTACACATTTGCATTTGGAAATCAAATTAACGGCTTTTGTTGATTGGTCAAGTAGCTCATTGTATAATTATTTAAATGGGAAAATAAAAGAGACAGTTTAATATTTTACGGTCTCTATTTGATCGTTGGCTTTATCAGAGGTGTAACTGTATGTTTAGTAAACTTTCAAAAAATTAATTTTTAATTTGTTACTTTATTCAATCAAATATATTCACATTTGATATTCTTATTATGTAAGCAGCTCAGCTACAAGTATTTGTATCTGTCGGTTACTTCTACCAATTTTTCTTCCAATCCTTTGTCTTTGGTACTGTGTCCGCCATCAGGTATTAAATGAAATTCAGCGTCAGGAAGGAGCTAAAATAGACATGGTTGAAAAATTGCAACATACATGTGTTATGTAATCGTATTTATAAATACTTTATATGCTTTAAATTTAGTAACGGGCTTAAAGAGCAGTAATTTAAGAAAAACAGCACGAAGACACTAACATATCAATTAACATTCTACTCTGATGAAGATCTATTTGTTATTTCTGGGAAATAATAAAAAAATATCTGTCTTTCCAGGATTTTATATCAATCTTGCATACGTATTATAAAAGTGTGTCTACTGTCAAGTATACTTATGCAAATATTCTCTGTTGAAACTTTATTTGAATATTTATTAAGTAGTACAAGACATATAATTATGTTGGTTTAAAAAATCCATTGCAAAATCTTAACCTGTTTGAACAGCCACTGAGTCAGATGATTAAATTTCCACCATTGTCTTTGTCCTTCGGGTAAGGACACATATTGCACGCTTTTTGGTTGGCACGAAAATAAACTATAGACTATAGTACTACTGTACAGTATTTGCCCGGTAGTGCCGGGACTGTGGAAATGTAAACAAATAGTTTCTTCCCTTTGCACTTGTCCGATTGTGGGGTTGATATTCCAATAATAGACTGATGCATTTATTTGTTTGTGACAATCGTGACAGAACCATGAGGTATGTGACGTCATTTTAAAGATATTACAAGCAGCTATAAAGTGCGTCCTCAGTTCTGAGAAAAAATGTTAATGAAAAATGTTGGACCCAAACTGTGGTCTTTAATATAAAGAAAGAAATGGGTATGCGTGCTCAACTGCTGCTTGCTATACTGTTAAGAAATGACGTCACATACCATGTCTGTCTATTCTGACGACATTTACCTTGTGAAGTTGCCATGCCGTCTCTGTGGGACAGATAATATCATATCTACCATGGATAATACTCGTTGGAATGTGACGTATCTTGTCAACATTCGATAAAATTTGGTCATCGGTCTTCAGGAATGCACTGTTTACAACATAGTGGCTAGTGAAAAAAATGGACACAAAATATATTATTTTATTTGCATATCATTTATCATCTTCGCACGTTTTGTTTATAATGTTTGCACGTCGTCCGTGTCTGAGTGGTTAAGGTCGTTAGACTTAAACCACTTGCCTCTCACCGCTGTTGGTTAAAGCCGCTTTAGCGTCTTCGGATTCGTCATGTGAGAAATCTACCAAGCTATCTTAAGATATGACGGTGATTTTATTCAGGTACCCGTTTTTGCCTGAAATAATGTTCAGAGGCGCGCCTGGGGTCACCCTTCACCAGTAAAGTCATGGGCAATGTTGTTTGGTCTCTCCTTTAGGTGGTCTTTGTTCACATGTTTGAATGTAGATAAACAAAATGACTATGACAAGCCTAAACAAAGATCAAAGGTCAATGTCATATATGCATCGAGACATACATTCGATCTATTCTGTTATACAAACAATTGTAAAACTCCCTAATCTTACGAACTTTGAAGTTTTAAATAACATTTTACCATTCTATAGTTGCTTTCTGTACCCAACTTTCTAAATTTTGCTCTATTTGACCAAGAGCGTGTTGGTCAATGTAAAGCCGAGCTGTCATGATGGCCCATATCCCCCAGGCCCTTCCACAGTCTAATTTTGCCTTCTCGTCATTGCCAGTTAACCTACGATAAAATGCACCAATAATGTCGTATCTCTCAGTCTGTAATGGTAACAAGGAAACTGAGCTCTCAGTGATATTCGATCATTGTAATAAAGAAATGTAAGGCGGATGTAGAGGAGTGTCGCTTCTTGTTGTTGTGCTCAGGTTTAGCAATATGCAAGTAAAAAGAGCAGTGGAGAGAAGTAAAACTCAAACATACAGTAAACACAAGAAGAATGTAACAAAGCAAAAATAGTGGCGGCGTGGCCGATTGCTTAACGCGTCGGACAAGGATAGCTGGCCGCGTGGGTTCAAACCCCGTTAGGGGCAAGCCGTTGTTTCCGAGAGAAAAAACAAACAAAACAAAAAACAAACTTTACACCCATTGCTTAGTTCTGGTTGGTTCAGTGCGGATTCGAAAGTGCTTTAATAAGCTTAAAGCTTCCAACACAATCGATATAAAATACTTTAGTATATCAAACTAATAAAAGCAAAAATACAAAAATGTAAATGTGCAACGAAAAGCGGAAATGCAATAAAGGAAAAAACGTTAAAAGTGAAAACAGGACAAAGTTTGATTGTCGTTTCTTCGTGTTTTTGTATTGTTGCATTTTTGCCGCGAAAAAACAAAGACACGGAAGATGCAATACGAATAAAAGACACGCTATATGTGTCGTATTTTGTCTGATTTTGTCATCCTTCTGCTTTTGTTCGCGTCGAGAATGTAAATACAAAACGATACGGCACAGTTGGCAAAATGCAAAATAGCATGGCGTACATCAGCCACCAAACATACCGCAACTATTGCTGTAAACATTGGAACTGTTAGTGATATATTACCTCAGGAATCGGCTTCACAAATTCTTCATATGCATCTGGAAATACAAAACTTGCTCCGTCTTGATAGAACCACGCCAGTTCCCGCCTGAAATAAGTAAAGCCCAGTTCAAAAGTAAACCAAAATGGACATATTTATCGCAATGATTTACATCATCGGTACATGGATTCATAGACAATAGGTGATTGATGGTCGACAAAAACATTGTATCGAAAATACTTATTTATCGTCTTGGTTGAAGGAGGTCTATTAATAAGATTTCTGCATTTTACGTAACAAATAGCAACACGACACGACACTTGACGATACGATACAATATATGACAATGCAACACGACATTGGACTCTGCAGCACGGAACATGACAATGCAACACGGCATTAAGTAATTTTCATTTGAAGTTTTACCCTTCGTACTCACCTTCTAAATGTGTAAATTCCACGGATTATAAGGGCCTTCACTCTATCTGGATGTGCTTCAGCATAGATTAAGGCCATAGTTGATCCCCAGCTTCCTCCAAATACAACCCATTTATCTATATTGAGTTTTTGTCTAAGTTGTTCCATATCATTTACAAGATCCCAAGTTGTGTTTTCCTAAAAATCATAGTTTTATTTGTTATCCTATCCATGGATATATTTCTTACAAGGTTCCTTTATCTGATTTATCCTTAGGGTTTCACCACGAAACGCAGCCCTGGTTAGCCATTTAATTTCTGCTGCTTAGTGGCTATTCTTTGATATTGAAATTCCTTAATCTTGTAATGGAATGTTCCAAATTCAAAACAGGACAGGTAAAATGCATAATGAAAGTAAGATAACAAATTCATGCGCGAAATTAAATTATCAACAAGTGCGTGATTTTTACGCGACACCGGTTTCTTATCTCTTTTCTACATTTGATTATCATTTTGTGCATTTATGAATATCAAGATATCTTTCTCGTAAATAGTTATCCTTGACGGTATGGTCGACGTAAAAACAAATTTTATGAGTAAAAAATCTGTATGCTAGGTGAAAGATCCGACATAATTTTTTTTCAGATTTGGTACACGATAAATTTGAACTACTTCTGGATAATGCTCACTCTTATTTCGGCTGCTGGGGTTGATTTTCCAGTTCCTCTTTGGTCTATAAGAATAATTCTGTAAACTTTAGGGTCGAAAAATGTACGGTCTCTAGTTGTAGTACCCCATCCTGGTCCTCCATGCCTATACGAGAAAAAATGAGCCGCGTAATGACAAAACCAACATAATGGGTTTGCGACCAGCATGGATCCAGACCAGCCTGCGCATCCGCGCAGTCTGATCAGGATCCATGCTGTTCGCTTACAAACGCTATTACAAGTAGAGAATCTGATAGCGAACAGCATGGATCCTGATCTGACTGGTCTGGATCCATGCTGGTCGCAAACCCACTATGTTGATTTTGTCGTGACGCGGCTCAAATGTGTTTTGTTTCTTAACTCACATGTTACAAGTATATTAGTTTATGTCTGTTTAATGATGATATTACATTGTAATTATTATTTCACTTGTTCATTATTTGCTATATTACTGCATGTTGTATATGCACTCTTATTAAAATTAAAATGAATATCAATTACCTATGCATATTTTAGTATATGCAGTATGTACAGTTTTAATTACCAGCGAAATTTTCTAAAAAGTCAAGATCATTAATATTTAGGATTTGGTTACATGCTCGAAGAGTCAATAATTAAAAAGAAATGTTTTATCATTTACAAAATCAATTTCAAATAATATGCATTTGACAACGTACAAGTTTTTATACACATTTGAACTTCTTGTTTTTGTAAAAAAAAATCCTTATTTTTGTATATAAAGGGTATCAAATATTGAACAAACATATTTGTTTGGATTTTTCTTCTTAATAAAAAACCCAACTAAATACTGGTTTAATATGAATATGTGCTTCAAAGTCCCCCACATAAACGCTGTGAAATTTGTATCATTAAGATTATGTACATTGATTGTATAAATAGGTACTAATCAAACATGTACAGTATCTTGACCTGGTCATAAAATAGGGACAAGTTGTTGAATAAATTATAAGTTACCAGACGATAAATATAATATCATTTCGTCTGATATCATTTTGTGTCTGTACGTATTTTACCGAAATATGACGGAACAGACCGAACAGAATTAAGCTGTAAAAAGGGATTGTTGCCCATTATTTTCTAAAACTGTGTACATGTACATTGTAGTAAATGCAACTTATTCCTAGGAATTAATTGCAATTAAACTGCAATTTAAAAACAAATGGTATTATGACGGTTTATATTGATCGGTGCTCTACTGATAGAAACTTCAAATAAATAGAAACTTTAAATATATTTAACTTAATTAAAAAAGATAAATTGCGAAAATGTTATCATAATTTGTAATATGATTAATGGATTGTAAATCTGTTTTAAAATGTACTTACAGAAAAACAACTGGGTTGCCATCTTTATTTCCGGACTCCTCATAGTAGATACTGTGAAGTTCAGACACTTTTAACATCCCAGTCGAAAACGGTTCTATATCCGGGTACATGGCTACTTTCGTTTTCTAAACAAAAGTTTTCACCTGGCAGAATATCTAATTTTCGGCGATAATCAGCTGTTGGGTTTAACGAAAGGATGAATCATAAATAACACATGTAGATCTATATGTTGCTACATTCAGTGTAGTCAGCCAATCAAAAATGTCGTTTAATTAGGCACGCCGCTTTTGCTTTTTACATGTATAAATTATTTTTTGTTTTTATTTTCAATATACCGTTACGCAAAGTAATGTTAGTTATGCTCCTTGCAAAAAGGTCATGTTTTGACTATTTTTCTTACGTAGATTTTATATAAACCTCTACACAAAGTTAAATTTAGTATGCTTCTTGGTAATTTAACTACTTTTGGTACGTAGACTTTATTTTTAATTAGGCAAAAGTTTAAATAACTTTAGTCAGGTGAGTTGCATTTGCATCTTTAAAGCTATGGCCTTCAAAACATATATTGCATGTATAGATAACCATGTTTAAAACTTATCTGCAACTTTCACAGAGCCTCAATTAAGTAGCATATAACTTGCAAAATATGTAAAAAAAGAAGAGGAAAGTATGCTTACCAACTTAAAAATGGATGTTGACACTAGCCAAATTCACTTTACATTCCGAAAGATCTTTACCTTGTTAGTGAGGAATGTCACCTGTATCATTGTACATTACCGTAACATCAAAAGAATGACTATAGGACACAAAAATTGACACATGTTGCATTTACTGTTCAGCAGATAATCCGCTCATTCTTTCTCGTTCGTTCATAATGCAACGGTTATCTATTTTATGAGTCATTTTCAAAAGAAAAAATGATTACCCCCCTTTTACGCGCTGCCCAAGCCGGATGCTTTGGTTTTCGCGCAAAAATACTTGGGCTAAAACCCATCTTGCCGTGCCGGGAGCATTTAGGGTTAATTTATATATCTTTTTGTTTCCATAGGTTGTGGGAAAAAAAGTTCCGATCTAGATATAAAAATTCCGTTATTCTCCGAGTTACGAAGGCTAGGGATTAGGTAATACATTGCTGATGCTGACCTTCATATTTTGTTTCTGTATAATGCATCCAGACGTCTATAAACTAAAATGTTGCATAGCTTAAGTATACTTAATTCTCTTAAAACAAAACCTTGGTATCTATTTCTATTTATACACGTTTAACAGCCTGGACTTGATCGGCAATTTTTGAGCATATTCATTTGAAGTAACGCAACAAATTCATGTATTCAGATACGCTTGGTGATCAGTCTTCTTAAATTCCGTACTTGAAAAAAAGAAATTCCATGACAATGTCTAACAAATCTAGGCCTATACTCTTTAGTGCTTTCACAAACTTATCATGAAAATGCGGCACATTTACTAAGACGTCATATGGTTTTTCTTATATTTAAAATCAACAACACATACGACTATATATCTGTTTAATTGTTGTATACAAATATATGCATATTGGAAACTACTAGTATATCATTGATAATAAATCTATTACGAAGCTTGAACTTCATCATTATATGTTTAAGTTAATGTAATACTCAAAATTAATCTCCTAATCGGTCCCGACATGGGATGGGTTTCCAAAACTTACAGCCAGATTCTCCAAGTCATCTCCTACCCTTAGTTTACCAAACGACAATTTTTGTATGACCTTGAGTAGGAGACATTTCAGTGACTGGCGCACGTCGTAAATGAAAAACATGCAGAATGGTAAAGTGTACAGTGTTTGTACATGAACAAATATAACAAATACAACAACTAAATATTCATCCGGAGTACGTATGATACCGTTGAAGTGTAAAGCCACAATGGTTAGTGCTCGAGTCAAATACACAATGTTTATGAAGACTTGACACATAAGCCATTGTGATTCGTCGTCGCGGCTCTCTGTCCGGATTTCCTTCAACTCACCAGTCATTGTCGTAAAAGTGATCCGTGACCGTTTCAGGTAATACGTAACTACGGTGCAAATTAAAAACAGGAAGCAGACGATTGCCGGTATGAGAGCGCGAAAGACAATTCTTGCCCGTCGAACTGATAGGTCTTTGAGGACAAAACAGAACTTGTATTTGTCCTGACTTCCATAATTGTTATTGATAATCACGTGGGAAATAATCATACAGACGATAAGCCACCCGAGCGCCATCGACATTAAAAATCTGTAGAACGGGTTAGACTCCCATTTCTGAAGCGTAAGAATCTTTGTGAAAAATATTTCCAAATTTACTAGAATAACGTTCATCCCTACACCAAAAAAGATATACTCCGCACTGTACATCAAAAAGTAACAACTCTGTTTGTCCTTTGTATAATTCTCACCGTGTGCAAATGGGTGAAGAAAAAGTCCGGTGAAAATAACGAGTAACGTCAAGTGATACAGGTACCACATTTGTGATTTTCCCCGCAGGTTCTTGTCAAGGATAGTGAGGAATAGAAGTAGGCCTATCACTGATTGGATAATGGCAAATGCAATGTTCACGTCATAAAGAATCTAAAAATAGAACACATAAAATAGGATCAGCATAGAAAATAGTTCTTTAAAATTTAAAGTGCTCCATTTAAAGTTATTCCTAGTTTGATTGGTCATTTGGAATCCAGCATTAAGCGTAGAATATTATCTCCTACGTAATTATCTTCCCTTATTAGTACAGAGATCCCTGCCATCACAAACAATTTTATCAATATTTTGATATTTTATATTTTTTAGGCTTTGAATTTATTGTTCATTATTTTGTATAATTTTGATATTTTTTGACAAACAATAACGAACGTAGGTACGAAAATTTAAAAATAAAACAGAAAGGGAAAAAATGACGATTGATTTTCTATGTAACGGCCGATATTTACATTTGAATTTCGACGTTACGTCATATGACTTTCATCATCATGTGACGTCTGTGCTCCTAACTATATATTTTGATATGGAAAAAAAGGAATTCTCTTCATTATTTCCATTTCTTTAACTTGAATAAATAGCATTTTTATGATTGTATGCTGAGGTGCAAAGCTTCAAATATATTCTAAAGTAATTGAATGTCAAAGTTTGGTTACCAATGCCTGATTAATATGTTATATAAATGCAATAGGGGGCTTGGTCAATAAGCAGAGATGACTACTCTAAAGATACACTTACCACGACGATTTTCTGCACATTGTTCCATTTATCTACATCCCGTTCGGCAAAGTCATCCTCATCGTCAAGTTGTATGCCAACACCGGGACCGGGGGCTGCACCGCCTGTAACATTGGTTTTGTTCATTGCCTGAAAACATATGTTTAGTTTAAACATATGTCATTCCTTTCATTTTTTTAAACAAGATGTACAATGCAAATACATTGTATATAGGAAAAGTATAAAAAATCATTTTGAAAGAAAAAGGGTTGGACCACAAGTTCAAATTACATTTAATTTAGTAATTTGGTCTGTCCCTGATACGAATCTAAAGAAATATTGATACTATAGATTACATTGAAATGACATTGAAGAATCAAACCAAGTATTTTAGGAATTAAAACAAAATGTAAAAAAAAACATAAGTCAAAGGTAAGTCATTCAAAATCATCTTTACCAAATTATGATAATGATAACTATAATTATTGTTACCATTGAATGATGCGAAAATAAGAAACAAGTTAAATTATGCCTTTATTCAGTAACCATTCTAGTACACACATACTTAACAAAGGCTTTGAGCTGCGAATTGTTCTACATGTCATAGCATTCTTCGATATTTGAAAAACAAGCAAATTCTTTAAACAGGATATTTTTGGAAAATGTGTAGAACTGCTTTTTCAGCGGACTGAAGCGTTGAAGGCTCTCATTTAAACAGATCACCAAAATGTGAAAGAGCCACTGTTTAGTAGGGGTGTGTTATAATGCATGAAAACGGTGACAATTAAAGCAGTTGCCCACTTGGCTCAAGCCATATGCACTTGGTTCCGGGGCGAAGACGATCTTAACCAATCAATAGCAGTCAAATCTATCCGAATGTAACCATGTTTTTTCCCCGTAAAGTTCGTTTTTTAATACCCGCCGGTTTTCATTTGTTATTAATTAAACGGCGGGTGTTAAAAAGCGAACTTTACGTTAACAAACTGACGCAAAATTGTTTTTGTATGTTATTTTGAATTTTTTTTAGCATGTGCATTCAACAATGCAATTAATTTGATACAGTCGATTTTAGAATTCAGCCATTTTGTCAATTTTGTCACCATTTCGCTCTCTAGCACCAAACGTTCAACTAATTCACGTCCTCGCCCTTGAAGATATTAATGTTTATTTACCTGCGCTGTTCTGGTAGTTGCTGTTGTCAATTGTTGCACTAGTGTTACTGCTAAGCTTCCATTCTTGTTGTAAATCTATAAATAAACAACAACAATAAAACAACTTGACAAAGCGGGCACTTTTGCTCAGTGGAAGAATTGTCAGACTTCTTATTTAAGGCCCGTGAAATTGATTATTTACAACTCAAAATAACCATAGAAACAGTCTTTTAGACGAAATATTTAAACGCAGAAACGAATTTTGTTTTACTTTGGGCAAAAGGGCAAACTTGGGTTTGATCATGTTTTAGAGCATGTTAAATTTCGAAAGAAAACAGAAAACTTGGTACTTTCTAAACTTTTCTAGAATACCTGAGTGTACAAAAGAGACATAATTATGAAACTAATACGACTTGTAAAATATAAGTTTATTCTAAACAATTGATTAAGTTACAGATTTTATTCCTAATAAGTTAAACATGGCCATTTGTTTACATATACATGTATTCCACCTGATCCATTTTCTATGATTTTTTTGTAACATAAACACTTTTATTTTCTTATGAACATACATGTATGTGCATTATTGACACATTTATTTCAGAACTGTATTTATAACTGTATCTATAACTGATATTTTAGAAATAATTGTAACGCGTCTATGTACAAAGCAATTGAATATTGTCATAACAACAGGCGTTTAATCAAATAGAAATTTTCCTTTCTTAGAAACGGATCTTTTCTCTTTATATGTGAAAGAGTCAAAGAACCGATCTTTTCTTCTGGAATGGAGACATATCTGTAAAATAAGCACTATCTTCCAACAAAGATTTCCCAAACGTCTCTTTAAAGTATTTCTATGAATCGCCCATATGGGTATCCATAACCGACTCTAAATTAATTCATATTACACATCACAAGCGATAAGACGCACATTTTTCCGATTTGTCTAGATTTCCAAATTTGTCTTACTTTGGTAATAAAAGTAATAAAAATATACGTTTTGTATATGCAAAAAATGTGCTTTTTTGTCAAGAAGTCAACTGATTTGAAACCCTTTTTTATGTTTCTTATGCTTAATACATTGCAAATCGCACCGCAAATACAAAATGAATGTAATCTAAACGTTTACCAACGATTAAACGGTCAACAACGTTTGAATAAAGGTAAAATTAATTTCAGCGTACAATCCTAACAGATAAACATCTATGAAAAAATAACCATGTATTGTTTTAACATTGATATAATTATGATATGTATATTTGTCAAAAAAAAATTACCAAAATATTCATATAAATCTACATACCGTCATGACTTTTAACGCACAGAAAAAATAACCTGAATTCACATACTTCCAAAGACGGCAGTAATCTGAGGCAAACGTGTTGTTGAGGTGTAAACAGCGGGCTGTTCTAATTTCTTCTGTAAAAGGAGTCCGGACCGTACCAGTTTAGCTAATTAGTTAACTATAGGTAGGTTCAAACTTAAACTGTTGCTGTCATAAATAATTTTGTATGTATCCGAGATAATTTGGCAGGTTATAATATCATTGTACTTTTATCTTAAATAAGCTTGTAAAGTGCTTACTAACTTGTTACCCAACCTTTTTGCTTTTGATGTAAGCCTATAGATATATTTTTATTTTAATATTGGTTTTTACATTTATTTAAAGCAATACAATAATTTTTAACTATTTATTCTTACATTTCTCGTGAAACAATATTGTACTTACTCTCAAGTGTGCAAATATACGGTATATGCGTAGTGTAAAAAAAGAAACATTGTCACGTCACGTCGTATGACGTCATATACATGACATCTTGAACCCAAAATGACGCCGGTTTATTTACTTCAATTTATTTATACTATTTTATTTATTTATTTCTTTCGACAACTTTTTATTTAATCATTATCTAGGTGTACACTTAAATGGAAAGATATGTTTTGTTGCGATAATTCAGGTCCCGCATTTATATAGAACAACATGCTTGTATTTTATTAATTATTGAAGGCCCACTTTGCCCTATAGATACTTTTATTTTCATATTTCAAAAGCTTTTTATTTTGGGGGCTTGTAACAGTTTCGATAAAAATAATATTTAGCCATTTACTTTAAGCAATTAGTATAATTATATGATTTAGTATATTGTATGAAGTAAAAAAACTGCTTTGTTTACGTTTCGTAACTTTTATCACTTATTATTTTATAGTACACGCTTTTCTTCAAGTACGAAAAATCAAACATGCTCTTTAACTCTTATTTTAACGTTGTCATGTGCGCCCTTTCTAAATCGCATAATTATGTTTTATGCTGAATAAAATTTTGTAATGTATTGTATAATTTGCCTTTAAATAAATATATTGTATTGACCTTTTTTGCTTTGCTTTGTTTTGTTTGTATGTATGGAACAGAGTTTATGAACAAACAAGGTCAGGCGAGCTGGTGTCTCACTGAGACAATGGCGGTCACCGATATTTTAATTTCTTCTTAATTACAATTGATTGTCTTCAAATTAAACCATGAATTGCTAATTGACCCATAAATTACCAAATTCTGATAACTTTGTTAATCAAATGAATGTTGTATTAGAATCACCGCTCTGTGCACTGACTTAATTTAATTCATTTTGTTTGTATTTGTGCATATTGCACACACACCCTGACGTGCAAATCACATCAATTTAATCAGTAAAACTGTCGTTATAGGAAAAGAAGGAAAGAAGGAAGAAAGAAAGAAAGAAAGAGAGAAAGAAAGAAAGAAAGAAAGAAAGAAAGAAAGAAAGAAAGAAAGAAAGAAAAAGAAAGAAAGAAATGAAGGAAGGAAGGAAGGAAGGAAGGAAGGAAGGAAGGAAGGAAGGAAGGAAGGAAGGAAGGAAGGAAGGAAGGAAGGAAGGAAGGAAGGAAGGAAGGAAGACGTTATGTTACATAACGTTACGTTAATGTTATGCTTTGCTGCGCCATGCGATGCTATGGTGTGCTATATAATATTTTTATAGTTGACATACACATAAAACAACTGAGCCGCGTCACGACAAAACCAGCATAGTGCGTTTGCGACCAGCATGGATCCAGACCATTCTGCGCATACGCGCAATCTGATCAGGATCCATGCTGTTCGCTTTCCAACCCTATTGCAAGTAGAGAAACTGATAGCGAACAGCATTGATCCTGATCAGACTGCGCGGATGCTGGTCGCAAACCCATTATGTTGGTTTTGTCATGGCGCGGCTCATATGTTACTTCTATTGAGAGCTGGAAAATAAAATTAATATATACCTCAATATAATGACTATAATATCATCTAAAAAAAATCAAATATGTAAAAATAAAATTAACTAAAACCTGCAACATGCCACAAGTGTTATGTTAACATTAAACTGTATTCTTACGTTGCACCGGTTAGATGGCGGTTGGTTGGAAAACGTGGTAACCGCCGTCACCATGATAAATGGCGACGAACATATAATTTTCATATGCTGAATAAAGAATTGAATTGAATTGAATCAAACTGTATTAAAAAAAACCCGCTCTCGAACTATGACGGAAATTGCCGAATAGGTTTGTTCGTGAATACAACAATAACACTTTGTGGGAATTCATTGCAAAATTTAAAAATATGAAATTTGCGGACCCGAATGTTATAGGACTTAGGTCTTTAAGTTTTTTTTAAAAAATCTCCACATGACGTGTAAGCATTCCCTTGTTATGCTGTGCATATATCGTGTAATTATGCTCTTCATTGCACAATCTGTTGCTTAGGGGAAATAGTGTGAAGCGTGTAAGAATATACAATTATACGTTTTCAATCAAATTTTGTCTTGCATAGTTCCACATATTTTATTACACGTGTATTATCACATAATTAGTATCACTAAAACACTTAGGTGTTTATGAGCAGCTCTTGCGTATAAAACTACATTATACGTCAACATTATAATATCTGAACTCATCGTTAAATATGCCTGACGATTTTCGACCAAATACGAAATATGAGCATAATCATATACTAGAATTTTATATTTAAAGTATGATTTTTCAAGACAGTGCGTAAGACCAATGTTATTTCTAGTAAATGGGATTTTGTACTTTCCATTTGCCAATTTGAATTTAAAGGTAACTTATGTCACTATTTTAAGAATTCTTTATATTCTAGCATTATAAAAGGCTTTGTTTAATTCAAGCCAATGCACAGCGTAGATCATTTATCTATTATTTCTGAAAAGACGGGTATATTTCATTAATTTAAACAATAATTCTTATACTACTTCTAAACATTATATTATTTGGATAAAAAGATAACAACTTTCTATTTCTTTTAGAATTTACTCAATGATTCCATACATATACAAACACAGTAGTAATTTAACATATTAATGTTATAAAAATATTAGTATTAATAAACATAGCACATTTGGTATATTCTTTTCAGCAAGAAAACTGATACGAAAGTCTAAAATGGCCGCCATGGGACTTCTTTTATCACATGACCGATTTCATTTTCTTTACCTTTTCCTATAGAAACCACGTCTATATAATTTTCTATATCGTCTTCGTTATTTTCCGAACAAGTTTCATCCACCTGACTGTAACCGGAAGACGTACAGTAGGAAGAGGTGGTCTCAATTGAAGAAGTGCTTGAAAAGCCAGAAGAAGAGCTGGAATCAAGACTGCCGTGCACAAATGATGACGTAAGTTCCGGTAGAGCTTGACTTCCGTTTAAAATGGGTGAATACCCTGATAAATCCAATTCTGGCAATGGCGATATGTTAACTGTGTCATTTGGTCTTAGAGGCGTAGAAAGACGATGTGTTTGTCTATTTTGATTGAACACATTATTCCCATGTTTATTATGATTTGTCATTTCCTGTCGCCTGCTACTCGTGAGGAAAGCCTGGTGTAGATGATTGCTTACGGAACCAGTCACTGTATCACTCGTGATTTTAGTCCTTGCCAAATAAGTCACAGCTTCTCGAGCACATGCCTTGTATCCTGCGTTATAGGCAGCAGCTTCTGTTGCCATGGTAACAGATTGTTGTTGCCGTTGTAGCTGCGACAGATGATAGACTGTTAAGTCTAAAATGTCTGCCTTGTCAACCCTTGTCATTGGAGCAGTCTGAAGTTGAAAAACAAAAAACGATAAATTTTACAACAGTGTTATTCTTAATATATGTTTGAAAATTTGAATATAAGGTTTGTAATATTTATTCGAAACATATTTACTGATTCTGTATTAATTTCTTTGATTAAAAATCTTAGTATATACATAATAAATATATATAAAGGTTATTCAGTTCATATCTAAATATACCGAAAAATAATATTTTTACAAATTTGACATCCATTGGCAACTCATTGGTAATCCGCGTGGTGTTCCAAATGAATGACTTCCTGAGGATCCGCGTGGTGTTCCAGATGAATGACTCTCTGAGGATGCGCGTGGTGTTCCAAATGAATGACTTCCTGAGGATCCGCGTGGTGTTCCAAATGAATGACTGATCCTGAGGGGATCAGGCTCAAACGTAAACGGCGAAACATGGCATACTTTGAATTTCAATTGTACATGATTACAAGCTACGTTCAACCGAACAATTATATCATTATAACTTACATTTTGTTGAATAGTCTGTGCGATTAGCGACTTCAAAAGTGATATACTTTTATTCATTCGTTCTCTTCTCTTCTTCTCCACCATTGGCTTCCGGATCTGCAAAAAAAACCCCAAAAACATAGAGCGTGTGTACCCAATACCTGAGAATTCCCTATTGCCAGTAGTTCTTAGATATGGCTGATAGTAAGCTATTTCGCAATAAGAATTTGGTGGGGGGGAATATGAAATTCTGGTTGGGGAAAATCATTTAATACTGTATATAGATCTACATATATATATATTTTTATATACAAATGTAGTATAATATACATAATATATTAATGTAGCTTTAAAGTTTTGAAAATACGTCATTTGATATAATTACTACCTAGTTCAATTCAATTCAAATCAAATATCTTTATTCACCCAGGTAATAATAAAATACATAAGGGGTTTACAAAATAATATTTTACAATATATATGTTCCTGTTGTAAAGTCCTGAAAAGAAAATGCAATATTAATAGATATTTAGTTATTATTAGACAGAAATATAAAATAATTTTAATGTTTTAAAGAAAGAGGAAAGAGTAAAGATACTGTGATTAATACCAAACATTAAAGCTCACTTAAAGAGGAAAATCATATTTTAGAAAAGAAGAAGATTAATAAATTTAAAAATTTTAACATCTATAAAAAAAACTGTATCACTTGAATCATGAGTTAAAGATATAAATACCTTTCTAGCGTAGGACATATCCTGTGTGTCTGATTTCTTATCTCCGCCCATATTTATTTAAATTTCTAGTCGTAATTCTACAGTAAAATAACTTTCCAAACGATTAATATTTGGTTAAGATAACAAGATACTTTTAAAGCAGTAAATCAAATTGATTCTGAGGTCAGGTTCGGAATTCTCTTATTTTATACTTGTGCACTTCAATTCGCAAAAGCACGTGCCAAGACTTAAGTGTGCTATAAATTACTCAAGGATGTCCGTAATTAAAGAAAGATTGAATTACTCAATTTGTCAAAACGTTTTGTAAGTGGTTAATTGGTTTTGATATACGTGTCAAACTTCACAATTACCTAACTTAACAAACGGCAGTCTTTAATTTCTCACTTGTGGTAATAATAAAATAATTAAATGTGTGAAAACGCGTGTTTTTCATAGGTCACCGTAATTAATTGTTTTACCAAAGGTACATGAAGATATCATATCGTACATCATGGGGTTATTACACATTTTACAATACTACAAAAAGATACAGTATCCGGTCAAATACAAGCATAGCAACCATGACATATAACTTTACAGTTTAAAGTTGAAGGGTATATGCGGGAATGCTATAAAAAGAGCGTGTAAAACTTGATTATACAATTATAGTAGAACCATCAACTAAATTATAGTTAAGAAGGAACTTTATTTTCCCCTGGTTTCATATTTCACAAAGAAATGATGTAAATGTTAGGCTGTGTATGTATGAACTCTATAATACTCATTAATATTGCAAATATAATCAGAATTCGCAGCTGAAACAAGTTTAAAGATTCTGTAACACATTTTTAAAGGTTTTATATCATAAATATGATGCTTAAATTAGGATTTATCAATTTTGTAAGTTCCAAAATGCATTATTTATAAAGATATTACCGAATTTAACATTTCATGGAAATAAAGGGACGTAATAAAAACTTTATTTTCTGAAAAGTCTAAGTCATTTTTTTTTCAATATGAAATGAATGCATATATTTTAATGATTGCATAAAGTGTGTATAAATATTTGCAGTACATATTTTACATATTCTTCGATGTTTGAAAATTGTTTTATAAGCATAATTATATAAATAATAATTATACAATTTTACTAACGCGTGGTATACAACCTCAATTACAACGTGCAGGATCTTTTACAAGTTGCTATCATTGCAGTACATTATAATATCTATCTTTGATATAAAGTATTCAGCTATCAGCAGGTCATTTTTTGTGCTTCATTGATTGATGATTATTATTATTTAGTTAGCTAGTTCGTTCGTGCGTGCTTGCGCGCGTTCGTTCGTTAGTCAACACAGAAATATAATGACACAGACACAAATGTTAGCTGGGGTAAGGCCGTGTGACGATTTCTTCTACGACGTAGTAGTATACAAACTTGAAGAATATGACCAAGATGGCTCTAAATGGGTAATATGATATGACATAAGTAACTGACCTTTTATTCGTTCCAAGAGCACGGCCTTACGACGCAACGTCTATGCGTTTGCTTATTTGTGATTGTAAAAATGTACAAAGTATAACATGCACATACGTACTCGTATTTAATTGTAAGGGAGGTAACTTCAATGCATTTTAACATGAGCTCTGAATTTTAGTTGCTTCCCTTTGGGATTTGTGTTAAAGAATTCACCGTTTCATGATGTTTAAATTTTAATTAGAAACGTTCTTCTCTACTTTCGAACTGTGTATACAGGATACGAAAACATAAAGTTGAGTTATTTATTCAGTTTTAAGCAAATTTTAATAGTTCTTTACTCCTGTTGCAATATCAAAAGTACAACAGAGCTTATTTATTAGTAGATATTAATATATGAATGCTTTTGTTTTATTAAGAAGTATTGTATGTTCTCCAGAAAATGCTCTGTTAATATAACCAATTTTGACAGACAGACAGAAAGACAGACATCTTTATTCACTCAAGCGCATGTGTACACTATGGGGATTTTCTAATGAAATGAATGTAAAACATCAGTTTTCAAGCAGTAAACATATAATTTTACGCAATTTTTTTATGTATCATGAAACAATATGATAATTAAAGGTTATTTTCTTAAATATAACTGAAATTGTACTTTTCTCCTTTTTATATCTTGATGCTTAAAGCAATATCATAACGTTTACAGTAATAAAAATTTGAACTTAAACTATAATAAAGTTCTGTATGCTCTTTTGTATATATGTTCTATTGGCGATGAACATTTATATGTTTTTTGCCGAATAAAATATTGAATTGAATTTTAAAGCATTTACGTATGTAAAATTCAACTTAAAATTTGATTATTGAATGTGTTAAATCGAAACAATTAATTACGGCCACTCAATAACAGCACGTGCTTTCACACATTTAAATATTTTATTGTTACCACACAAGTGAGAAATTAAAGACTGCCGCTAATTAAGTTGAAGTAATTGTGACGTTTGACACGTATATCAGAACCAATTAACCACTTACAAAACGTTTTGACAAATTGAGTAATTTATTCTATCTTTAATTACGGACATCCTTGAGTAATTTAGAGCACACTTAAGTCTTGGCACGCGCTTTTGCGAATTGAAGTGCACAAGTATAAAATAAGACAGCACATCCAACTTCACATCAAAATCATTTTGAAATTCTGCTTGAAAAGTACCTAGTTCTCTAAATCAAATCTAAATCGTGTGGAACGTTACTTCATTGTAGAACTACGACCAGAAATTTAAATAGATATGGGCGGAGCTAAGAAATCTGACTCACAGGATATGTCCTACGCAAGAAAGGTATTTATCTTTTAATGTACAATCAATACAATACAATACAATACAATACACTTTATTCCGCTTTAAACTTACAAAGTTTATAGCAATAACAACAACATAAATACATGAGAAATGGTTTACACAGGGTATATGAATACTGTTGGAAATTTACAATTACAATAACGTACGAGACTTCATTTTCAATTGTTCATAGAAAAAAATAATACAATCATAATGACGTATTTGGCTGACATTTTAATTACTCATCGATAAAAAAATGTAAAAATAATGTACGAGACTTAATTTGAAATTTAGTATATAACAACAATTAACACATCATAAATTTGATAACCTGTCATTTCGTAACTTTGATGCAAAGTAAATATATTTTGCTAAGTTGGTAACATTACTTTTAACATTTGTCGACATTAAAATTTCAAATTTCTTCAGTGTTGGCCATCTGCAAAAATATCCTTTAAAGTATTTCATTCTTAGATCTCTGTATAACGGACATACAAGAAGAAAGTGATATTCAGATTCTAAAACTCCCATTGAACAGCATTTGCATAATCTATTTTCTCTCAGAGTACCATCATATCTCCCAGTTTCTATGGCTAGGGAATGTGCTGATACTCTGAACTTAGTTAATGCTATGCGATATTTTACAACCGTTACGGTATCTAAATATTTCTCCCGATTGAATGAATGTTTAAATAAACAATCAAGGGATAAGATTTATTTAGATGTTAAGGGCTTTAAAATCATAAATAGTCCCTCCTCTTCTATATGTTTAATTGTACTTCACATTTTTTTTCTCGTTAAGTGATCTTTAATGTAGAGTTTTTACTTTGTACCTTTACTAGGTAATAGTACTATCAAATAACGTAGTTTCAAAACTTTTAAACTGCATAATAGTACATTTATACAAATGTGCATATATATAATAATATTATAGATCTATAAATAGTATCAAAATGATTTCCCTTTACCAGAATTCATATCTCCCCCAACTTACTTATTGCTTACTATCAGTCATATCGGAGAACTACAGCAATGTCGTTATCGTTGTTTAACGTTTAGCTGGGCGTATAGATATTGTATAGGACAATTTAAACGCTTCTTAGTGCTTGAAATTATTTGTTTTTGCCCAATAGAATTTCAACGTGCATACACAGTATTTTAAATTATGCTTCTTGCAGATCCGGAAGCCAATGGTGGAGAAGAAGAGAAGAGAAAGAATGAACAAAAGTATATCACTTCTGAAGTCGCTAATCGCACAGACTATTCAAGAAAATGTAAGTAATTTTATAAGTGTTCGGTTTTACGCAGCATGCAATCATGTACAATTGAAATTCAAAATATATAATATTTAGAGTGGGGAAAAATGAAAAGACGAATATCATTTCTGAAGTAGCTAATCGAACAGACTTTTCAACACAATGTAATATAATATAACCAAAGCATCAAGTTTTACACGCAAGTGTTCCTAATTAGTAGCTGCTTTTCTGGAAAACGTTTGAAGCATTACGTTTTCTCTATAATTATGTCAACATATTGCATAGATTAAACATGCCATGTTTCGCCAATATATATTTGGAAGTCATTCAGGAAGTCATTCATTTGGATCACCACGCCGATCACTAATAAGTCGAGCAAATGGATGTCAAATATATGACAACATTATTTTTCAATATACAAATATGTATTTATATATGAACTGAATAAGCTTTAGATTTTCGTCTGTACAAAAATATATTTATTAAGTGAGTGTATACTATGATGGTTAACCGAACAAAACAATGCAGAACACGTATATATGTTTCCAATAAATATCACACACCTTACATTAAAATCTTTTTTGCAAACACTTTTGTAACATTTAACGATTTGTTTTCATCTCCAGACTGCTCCAATGACAAGGGTTGACAAGGCAGACATTTTAGACTTAACTGTGTATCATCTGTCGCAGCTACAACGACAACAACAATCTGTTACCATGGCAACAGAAGCTGCTGCCTATAATGCAGGGTACAAGGCATGTGCACAAGAAGCTGTGGCGTATTTGGCAAGGAATAAAATCACAAGTGATACAGTGACTGGTTCCCTAAGCAATCATCTACACCAGGCTTTCCTCACGAGAAGCAGACGACAGGAAATGACAAATCACAATAAACATGTGAATAATGTATTCAATCAAAATAGACAAACACATCGTCTCTCTACGCCTCTAAGACCAAATGACACAGTTAACACATCGCCATTGCCAGAATTTAATTTTTCAGGATATTCACCCATTTTAAACGGAAATCAAGCTCTACCGGAACTTACGTCATCATTTGTGCATTCAAGTCTTGATTCCAGCTCTTCTTCTGGCTTCTCAAGCACTTCTTCATCTGAAACCACCTCCTCGTACTGTTCGTCTTCCGGCTACAGTAAGGTGGATGATTCTTGTTCGGATAATGACGAAAATAATGCAGACAATCGTATAGATATTGTTACTATTGGAAACGGCAAGGAAAATGAAATCGGTCACGTGATAAAAGAAGTCCCATGGCGACCATTTTAAGCTCTTGCTGCGTACAAAAATATATCAAATGTGCTATGTTTAACAATTTTAATAAATCTAATGAGATGAATATGTTAAATTATTACTGTGCTTGTACATATTGCTTTGTAATTTATGAAATCAAATAGTAAATTACTAAAGGAAATGGAAAGTTGTTATCTTTTAATCCCAATGATATTATATTTAAAGTAGAGGTAGCAAACGAATCCTTATTAATGAAATATACCCGTCTTGTCAGATCTCTATTTAAAAAGTAACCGATAAATGGTCTGTGTAGTGCTTTGGCTTGAAGTAATCAAAGCGTTTCATTGCTAGTATATAAAGAATTATTATTGAATAACTGTCATAAGTTACCACAAACATTAAATTGGCAAATGGAATGAACAAAACTTAATTTACTACAGATACCATTGGTCTTACGCACTTCCTGAATAACCATGAGTATGAATTATAAAGATATAAATTTCATTGCGAGCTTGTCTTTTGAAGTCTTTTGAGACTTTTTGTACGCCATACATTAAAATTGAAATAATAGTATATAACTAAAGAATGATCATTTTGTGTACTCGGTCTAAAATCGTGAGACAAAATCAAATATGAGTGCAAATATTGTTATATTGTATTTAGTTTTATAGATACACACCATCTTTTTAGTGATATTAATTATGTGGCATTATATTCCAGGGTGTAGAACTAATGAAGTTCTACAAGCAATAAATCTGATAAATCTGACCCCGAGCTACACAACCTTATGTGAGAGAGGTGCACATGTGGATTTTTTCGGGATGTCTCTGCAAAAACAAATCGTCTCGGCCAAACGGCACCGACTTTTTTTTAAGTAGAAACATCCCTCTATGTCGCCCAAGCCAGTGTTATATCCTCGTAACTAACTCGTTTCACAATGAATCGTTTCATATACAGTAAATCTTACTTGAAAATATATATATGACGTCATAGTGTAAGCGTCACATTTGGCTTTTAAATAGAGTCATCTGATGACAATCGGAACTTATCGGAACATAATAATTACTTAGGACTTAATTAGAGTACCACACCACACTAATTGTAGTCACAGCTTAGAATAGCCAGGGAGGATTTCTTGTATAGTGACATAAATGACTGGTTGTCTTTAAAGTGCATTTTTAGCGCAAAATTTGTTTTTGTGACATCTAATATGATCATTGGCAAATTCGGTGTATAGTGACATAAATGACTGGTTGTCTTTAAAGTGCATTTTTAGCGCAAAATTTGTTTTTGTGAGATCTAATATGATCATTGGCAAATTCGAAATCATGGTTAGAAATCACATGCTGTTAATCATAGATGTCAAGGCCACCATTGTGTTTGTAAATATTGCTTTTTTAAAAGCATTCTCGATAAAAAAATTATTACAGGGTGGGGGAAGGGGGGGGGGGGACAAACTGTAAGCAATAGCAAAAAATCTACAAGGCCAAGCACTTATTTCCTTGTGACATTTTTCATGCATAAGGAGGAGTTGCTTAAGTAGTGACAGTGTTTCTGTAGCCTGTATATTTTCAGGTATTTTTTTCCAGGAAATAAAATGTTTTTTGAGCTTTAACGGAATTAATTGGAACTTTTCAAACTGCCTGACTGTTGTACATGGGTTCATGTTACTATAAATTTGCAATACTATGATATATATGTCTTCAACAAAATGTGTTTTCTTTTTCCAGGATGTGTAGTTTTGGATCAGATTTATCAGACATATTTCTTGTAGGACATTGACGGCAGCAACGAAGTGCTACCTAATATGAGCTGAAAGTAGTTATACCACGTGGTTTTCCATGTCAACAAAAGTGTGTAATCTTTGATAATGTAGATAAGTTATAACAATTGTATAGATTCTTATATATTTTTCAGGTATCACTTTTGATGACAATTATAGGTAACCAATACTTGTAAGACCTATAACATGTTTCCGTAGCACTACACAATGTTCATTCATAAGTTACAAAGTTATAAAGATATATTAATCACAATGTTCATTTTAATCAGGATATGAGTATAAAACAAAATATTTAAAAATTCTTCATCATTTAATCAAGTCTGAAGAAAGCAAATATGCTCTTTATAAAAACACATTTATATGAAGAAAAAAAACAAGACATATATTTACAGAACAATTATCCAAGAACATGCACATGTGAAGTAGTCAATGCAAATATCACATAATATATTTCACAACATTCGTATTCGAAAAAGTGCATCTCAAAAGGATGTGCTTTCGTTTGTCTAAAATTAATTAAAAAACATATTCAGTAAAGCATTTAAGGTACTGAAATATTTCTTTTATGCTAGAATACTAACATTTTTATATATTTTTAAGAATGTTTTCAGAATGGTTCTGTTACACATATTTCAAAGCAAACACACGAGCCAATTATTGATCAATGATATTCATATTCATGTTTATACACTGTTCATCAGTTGTAGATTTTTAATTGACAAAGTTCATTCCGCAATAAATATGCTCCCTCCCTTATAACTTTAGACATGACATAAATATACCTTGTTTGGAGTCTATTTCAGTAAATTTTATTGTTTCAACAGTTAAAGAAAAAATACAATAAATATGTAACTAATAAACTATATGTATTACCAATGAAACTGATATCTTTAAAACATAAAAAATCCACAGCAATCATTTAACAATATGAAATAAATTGCATTCATTATCAATCTATAAATGCGGTAAATATTTAAAATGCACTCGACAATTGCTATGGGACAAACAGTAAGCATGGCAAAAAGAAAACAAGTAATTTAAAATAAAAGGTAGGTATCAATCTGTGTTCAGTAAATTTTATTGTTTCAACATTTAAGTGAACAAGCATCGTACTCTTTGACATCATAAACTTAACGAAAATTCCTAAAAAGAATACACTGGTGTTTAAAGTGGGAGTCATTTGTACTTGTCCATTCCAGAGAAATATTGAAAATTTGAATTCTTCAACGACCTCGTCTCAATTATTTCTCCAGAATGGACCAATACTCTGCCTTTTTCCTTTACTTAAATACAAATTAAATGTTTATAAAGAAAATAAATGAATAAATAAAATAGAAAAATAAAATAAATATGTAAATAATAAACTTTAAGTATTACCAATGAAACTGATATCTTTAAAACATGAAAAAATCCACAGCAATCATTAAACAAATTGAATTTGAAATAAATTGCATTCATTATCAATATATAAATGCGGTGAATATTTAAAATGCACTCGACATTTGCTATGGGACAAACAGTAAGCATGGCAAAAAGAAAAGTAATTTAAAATGAAAGGTAGGTATCAATCCATGTATAAAGTTTATAGAGGATATTGAATGAGCATATGTTGAGTGCTCAATTTATTGATAGAGTTGAACAAAATGTAAATATGCGAGCATAGTATTATTTTGTTCAATATTTGTGCGATACAAATTATTATTTGGAACTTTATTGTGCACTTTTTAAAATATACAAGGATATTTAAGTTAAGAAATATTTTCTAAAAATCATAATACATTGTGTTTTCTTTATTTAATAAGATTTGGCTGTACTTTCTGCTTCAATTATGAAAGTAATTGAAAAACATTTTGCACGATTTTACATCAAACAACATATCTTTAATAATAAAACTTGTAAGCCTCAGTTTAAGTTATTGAAAAAAATCATGCATGTCATTTTATTCCTTTCCTTTTCATGTACACACTTACAAAAATCATTAACATAGTTGAAGAAAAAACAAATTATCAAAGACTGATGTTCATGACGTGATTTGAAATAATAAGTCGATAATCAGGATCCATCTGATGAAAGTCTGAATGCAAAGTTTCAGATCATTAACTCTGAACATAACATAAAGCCATAACAATGATTTTAATTAGACTTTGACAATGCAATTCTTAATATATTTCTTCATTACCTTTAGGATATTGTTTTACAGTTTTGAGTTCCAGGTTGGACTATAAAAGCATGGGAACAATAATGTTTAGCTTAATCACATTAATATTCTAAGGGAAAGAAAAGATGAAGATCACGGAAAGAAAGGGGAAGGCTGGCACCACTCACGTCTTTCTGTACTCCTTTTGTTGCCATTGCCACACATAAATAACTGCAAAGAGAATGTATACGATCGGGATCAAGATTGACACGATAACATCCAAAACAACAAAGTTCTTACGTTTTGCCTCATCTTTGATTTCCGAAACCTGAAATATAACGAAACATACTCCCTTATGAACCTTTAAAACGGCAAAATTGAAAATGTTACAAATTACAAGTTACTCAGACATTTATAAAAATAGAAAAGAAACTCTTTGTTTAAAGCATATGAACTGAAACAATTGATCCATGAGTACATGTATACAGTAAACTCCGCTTATAATGAACTCATCGGGACATTCAAAATATATTCCTTATATCCGGAGTTCCTTGTACGATATAGCGAATTAGTTCCTTGTATCAGGAGTATTATGAGCGAACAGATTTACATTTATATAACAAACTGATTGTTTACTATCTTCCGTCATTCTGAAGAGCATTGATTAAGAAAGATTAGTCCTTTATTTCTTTTTATGACACAATAACCAAGAGCGTACATTTTGGAAATTGAAAATCCTTTGCTATTTCTGTTTAAGTTTTACTTCATTTCTCAATTTCTCATAAAATATCATATTTTGTTTCTAAACACAGTGCTTTTCGTTATCTTTCCACGATTAAAAATAAACAAGTTTTTCGATTGTTCCATCCTTTTATATTGAATATCTTCTATTACATTTTAAGGGTGACTTTCACTGATGAAAGATATTGATTTCTTTTCATTTCAATCAAATATACTTTGTAGTTTTCAATCATGCGTGATTATATTAAAAACCGATTATAAATGATCATAATTATTTTACTAAAAAGTAGCAAATTTAGCAAAATTATTTAAGAAAAGAAATAATACAATTAAAAGGAATAACCGTTTTATTTTGGTGACAAGAACTCATGCTAAAAATATCCTAAATAGAAAACTATAACGTTCTGCTGTGGAATCTATTTACGGATAACCGATATTTTGGAGTTCGTTATAAAAGTGTAATTTTCTGTACTTTTAACTAAATTGGGACTAAAAAATGAGTTCCTTATAAGCGATAATTTCTTATAACCATGTTCGCTTTAACCGTATATTTTTATATTAAATAAAGAAGGGCAAAATTCGGGCCAAAATAAATTGTTCCCTATAACCGGAAGTTCGCTATAACCGTGTACGCTATAAGTGAAGTTTACTGTATGCATACATGGTCTGGTATTCCCACTGGCACTTCTGGGGTTTTCCTCAATGTCATACTGGATATGGCAGTGAAAGACTGTTTTTTTTTTAAATAACAACAGCGTTCCAAGACAAGTTTGTATTTCGTATGAAGAAAGCTACTGTCTACGGCTACTCAGACATTTTGGAAATTGAAAAATAAAATAAATAAATACTTCATTAGTGTGAAACATTAATTAAAAAAATATAATTGAGATACATGAGTGTATGTACAAGTTTTCTGATATTGTCACTTTTTTCAGTCTTGGGAGTATTGTGAAGAAATGACTTGTTTTGTTCGATAAGAAATGTGTGTGTAACATATCATCTGGCAGAGAAGGCATAATGTATCATATAGATAGGAGAGATACCACCTTATCCCTACTAAATACACAAACTTTAAAAGACTAACTTTTTACCTCCATATGAGAGTGTTCCAGACTTAAGTTCCCCTGTTTAGGACGTAAAAAACATAATGCTTGGCCCAACATACTACAGTCAGCTAAATGTTCTGTTGTGTAACCATCTGGAGGTATTGGAATCAGTTCTAATTGAAATCTTTAGGGGGACTCCTGAAAAGTTCATAGCCTCCGATGTCTTTAAGTTTAGGGAACTTTTCCTCGATTTTCATTTTGAAATACACGGGGTCTGCTGACTTCACAAAAGTTATCGTCTGTTCCCCTAGTCCGGACTGTAACAGGTTTTGTTTTTCTTCCCTTGTTGGAACATGGTTCTGTAAATAAAAACAACTGTATATCAAAACCAATATACTAACATGATGAAAATACTTCTAATGCCAGCAGCTTATTGGTACTTGGAATAGCAAATTGCAACGGGCAAAGTTTTATGATAGACAGCAAGTGATATGTTCAGGAACATGATGGGATAATGATAAGTATGACAGCTCCACTGACCCCCTATATCCATTCAATAGTTCAACCCACTGTTTGTTCAAGTTTTGTACAATACCAATCAGGCAATTACAGTACATGTATATAGAAACAAGAGCTTTTTCATTATAAGACTTTTTGTCAAAGTAATTGGTGTACTGATTAAACTTTTAAATACAAAATATTGGCTTATGGAATGGTGACATTTGATAACGTTCAACTTAAACCATGCCCCCCACACACGCAGCAAATGACAATAGTTTCAGCCATTTTGGGTAATAGCTAAAATTTGTTCACTGTCATAATTCTTATTCGTCAATAATTTATTAACTAAGTATATAATTACATACCTGGTCACAACTGGCCAAGGCACAAAACCTGTGTGACCAAAACCTGTGTGAGACTGTTTCACTTGTTGATTCAAGGAGCTTAGCTGCATCTTTCAACAGCTGGGAAGCTCGAAACAGGTTGCCCATTATCTGAAATTACAAAACTTATGGTTATAAAGTACATAGTCATTGATTTGTAGCCAAAAATAAAATTGAAACAAAAAGTGTCTTAGCTATTTAACAATGATTAAACATACTTAATTATAAGGTTAATATAATGATATTTAATTAATGTGTGACAGTGTGGCGAATCTTCACTTAAGTGGGGTGATTCGTTATAGGGCGAATAGTGAGCGGGAGGAATCGTTACTAATTTGAAATTAACTTCTACGTTCCCTTTGAAAGGAATATTATTATGTATCAATCTTACAAAAAAAACTGAAGCAACCAAATCCAACCCTTTGTCAGTTTGATTTTCTAGTCCTCGTCTTCTACCGGCGATTACGCTAAAAGGTCACGTGTCGTGACTTGAACCCCCTACGTCAATTTTTTTCCCACTTATAAAAAGGGTGCCGATTAAATTTTGTCAGAAGATCTAGTACAAAGAAGAGACATCGAGAAAATTTTTGTCTGTAAGTAAAGCTTGAAAGCTACATAAAACTCACCAGTTCATGTTGCAGTGGCGATGTGCTAATTAATGGCGTAATTGAAACAATGGGGAACGGTTAAGGAAACAGCTAATTAAAGTCCGGCATATTTCGCGAAAACTACGAGCGTGTGCCCCCTGGTATCAAAATGTGATGTGCAAATTTGCAATTAACATTATACTTACTTTCAACTTGCATAGTGGCTGATTGCATGTTTCATTTTGTGTGTTCACATCGTGTGTTTTGTTCTAGGAGTATTATAACTGTGCAATGTTAAAATATCAAAGCTTATATACAGTCCCGGCATGTTGAAATGTTTCATTACGCTACATTGCACTGTCATCCAGCCATATAGACATCAGGGACTAAACACCAAACAAGTTGTAACTTCCAGCAAGCATGGTATCATTGTCAACAAGCGTGATGAAAGTGTAAGCATGCATAATGACTGTACCAATAGCAGCACAATAGCAGTGTCAACGAGTAAGCAGGCAGTGTGTAATTATCAACAAGCGTGATGAAAGTGCAAGCAGGCATTGTGTAATTTTTACCTCAATATCATTCCATACTTGGCCCCAACATGTTCCTTTAAACGACACAGTGTACGTAAAATAAATCCCCGCCAAGCAAAATTCTAACAAGTGTCATGGTTAGAAAAGGTAAAATATCTGGAAAAAAGTGATCCTTCGGAAGCATGAAAACAGCAAAATTACATGAAAACACAGAAATGCTCATGTACGAGAGGTTATCAAAAAATTCGTGGACATTTTATATATCTTTTGAACATCAACGTGTATTGTAATGAATTTTATCAGCATACATTGTAGAATATTATCAACGCGTTTTGAAACGAAAGTTAACTGCGTCAATAAATAATGAATTTATATTGCTTTTAAATAAGCACATACACGGCTACCGGCGCACGGTAGAAATGCGCAGTTAGTCATGGAATATTTGTTGCTAACAAAAGCTTCTCATTAACGTACATGACGTAGAAAACCAGCTAAACATCGCCTATTTCTTCTATGATGTCATTTATGTATTTTTTTTAAATTATGGACGTCATTTCCGTTAAATTTTGTTGAAATCGCCAGAAACGCCAGGCGACGATATTGTTTACAACGGGAAAATGACGGACACACAGATATTAGAAAATAGTGTGATCATAAAATTTTTTGTTGTAATTTGGAAATGACAATAACAAAAACGTTTGGAAAAAAAACAACAGCAGGCGATAAGAGAAAATAAAATTTCACTATCATTAGTGTTTAAGTGGCATAAAAAATTTAGTGATGGACATTACTTTGTGAAGCAGTAATGGTTATTGGCTGCGTAACATTGAAGCATAAGTTGTACATTAATATTATGAAGATGACGTCAATAACCTTTTGGAGTGCGCCGCTGTCGCTGACATGTGTTTATGTAAAATTTAATATTGTTGTGATATAAGAAGCTAATGACATGATTTTTTTCTGTGATTATTTGTTATATATATTCTCAGCAGTGTAAGTATTTCAAATCAATATCTCAAATATGTTTTACTCAAGAATAAAAGTCCACGAATTTTTGGATAACCCCTCGTATATACAAATTAAAAGTAAAGCAAAAGTAATGAAAATAAAAAAGCTCTGTGCAACAAGACGCTTTTTAAAAGAAAGTTGTATACATAATGAACATGGCAGTGTCAATTTTGGCTCAATGTTATATTTTGAACAATATTGGTAGAGGTCCACTACATAATGCTTCATGCCAAATATCTAATTTCTAGCCTTTGTCATTTTACAAAAAGAGACTTTGAAAGCTTCTAGTATATTCATATAAAAACCTATCAACCGCCATGGGTTGGGCCAATTTTGACAGTAGAGTCAACATTGTAAACAACTTTTGTAGAGGACCTATATGTGATACCATGCACCAAATATCAAAGATCTGGGCCTCGTACACTCAAACAAGATATTTTTCATATTTGCATTTATAAAACACTTTTTTCTGTCCCAATGACCTAAATATGCAACAGATCGGGACTATTTGAAAAAACTTATAAATGAGAAAACCCACGGATCATTTCTGCAGTCATTTGTTTCAGAAAACGTGTTGTTTAAGAAAATTGTTGACGCCAGACGAAGGACGAAGGAGGGTCACAATATATCACAATTATAACTAACACACTGCACATTTTAAAAAAAGAAATGTGTGACAAACTCAAAGGTTGTCAATATTTAATGTACTCAAAGTGTACGGATCGGAGCCATAGGTGAAGTGACTCATACACTAAAACAGTATGAGAGTAAAGTGAATACTTTACCAACCTGTTTTTCGTCTGTACTATCTAAAAACTTTTATGTTTACTTTAATGCATATGGAATTACATATTCTATTGTTCACAATGCTAATGTGTATATCTTAAATGTAAATGTATTCTTGAATAAAGTAAAGAAAAACCAACAAAACCACGTGGATATAAATTGACTGTTTTGACTTCTCATCGTGTCGGCTTACTACCCCTTACCATTGGCATAAATAAAATATTCAAGAGAATTGAGGGATCTGTAAAATCAAATAAGTTACGTTTTGACACCGGTTGATTACTTGACCAAAATACAGCACAAGTCCTGCATTTATAACAAATTATAAGGTGGACACAGTGTTTGAATTTGACAGTTTGTATTAACATAACTAGTATATTGAGAAATATTATTGGTAAATGATGAACCGTTATGTTATGCGTAAATATGTTTGAAGTGTATATGATTTTGTTGCAAATGACAAAATTAAATGAATTGTATATATGAAAAGTGTATTGAACTCATTTCAAAAGCGATCATGCCAATAAAAACAAACTTAAGAAAGAAATGTACTATTTTCTGTGCGGAGTAACGGTCTCATTAAAGTGGGGCTCCTCACAAGGTATTTATAAATGATGCACTTGGGTGCAACTTGGGTGAAAAAAATGGCAATTTCTGTGATATTTTGACTCGTGGCGGCGCCAATCATGATAATATGGACATGGCGCTCACTCGATAAAAAATTTGTACTCTTCAAACATCATCTATATCCTCAAGAATAACCACAGCGACGGTCTGATATAACGGTATAATTGGACATCTTTAAGATAATAAAAATTATAGCAAAGTAATAAATGCACACAAATTGTAAATTTGTTTATGACAACTAACCCCCTAAACAAAACATAATATACTCAACCAAAACAAGCGTCTGCTTCTTTATCTAATTATGTAGCTGCATGTCCATGATTTGCAAACCAAATTTAATGGATAAAGCTATTGTAAAAATAATACTATGACCACAGCAGACTTTGTACAGAAAATACAAATTTGATTTTTTTACATATTTGAATTTCTTCATACTAACACGTACAAGCTTTGCCGACGAAACTGCCGGTTGAGTGACTGGATTGCTGAGATAGTTTACTTTGAATGTCCATTTCATCATTGTTCATAAAAGGCATAAAAGTCACTGCAGACTGAAGGTTCGCCTAATATTTTGTGCAGACCACAACCACAAATTGTGGTTTCGAAGAATCGATTATTCTATCAAAACAAGTATAATTTACCGCTAATATTGGAAACAAATTCAATATGCACATTTATAAAGTAGATAAGTCTACAATGGGTACAGTTTAAATTAATATTTAAAATGTTGATAAAAACAATAGAAATGTATCATTTGAATATTCTTACAAAATACAAAATTAAATATATACTTTGAATAAAAATTTGATCTACTTCTAAGTGATTTAGTATGACCATATAATTAATGAATAATACTATTGTTTATATAACTCACTATTATACACTAAACACAAATATGTTATATCCGATCTAGTATCTCAACACTTACAAACAACATCCATGCATAACTCTTTCAAAGATTGTCGTCACGTGCTGACACGTGTGATACTTAACGCTATGAACATAATTATTTATGGTATATCAAACTTTTCATAAGTGATCAGTTCATTTCAAGCAATCGATAAAAATCAACGAATGCTGTTAAGGTAACTCTTTATCAATGTGAAATACTTGTAAAAATTAAATTCATATATTATATTAAACAAAATCAATAAGGAAGGGCAGCGTTCAATGAACGCAACCCCCACACGACACATCAACACAGGACCACAGGCACACTCATCATTATTAAGTTATACTTATCATTTACCTGCCCTGGGTCTGGCTGACTTGTACCACCAGAAATAGTTTTCTCCTTAGATTCTTCTGAATTCTTCTCAGCAGCCTATGAAAAAAGTAAAGACAAAGTAACAACAGGCAGCAAATAAACATTCCACCCTTTCGAACAAATCCAGAAAGAGAGAAAACGCATAAAATTTAAGCTATTTATCCAAAGACACCAAAAATTTGTGCATGTTACTTGTATATTTAACATAACTCTATTTGTCACATAAAGGTCAATGCTTAACTTGTTCAATATAACTCTTTAAACTATATCGTTAGATTATGTTTTAATTTACATGCTAATAGTACTTTACAGTAATCTTGTGAAAATTCATTATTTGCAAATAAGCATTCATTAAATAATGAAGTAAAAGAAGTTTTTTTTTTTCATTTAACACTTGATTTATGTCTACTACTGACATTCTACACATAAATTTAAGCCTTATAATCATTGCAATATGCGATATGGGGTAGGGTATATTATCTGTACTTTATGTTTAAAATATAAACCTTAGACATAAGGATAGACAGGCGTAAATGGACAGTGTGCTAAATGCATTCATAACGAAAACACGAATATTAATACAACACACAATATTTACCTAGTAATCTATATTAGAGTATTATTGCCAAACCTGGGGACTTTAGGTGAATGATTTTGAAAATAGCAGACACATAAGTCAAAATTTTACATATAATGACAAAGGTTTGGAAAATGTAAAATTGTTTATATATTGGACTACTTAATTAAAAAAATGGCCATACGTATAGAAAGTATAGAAATTAGCTCAACATTCTCCTTTTTTATAGAGTGTTTCATAAATAAGACTAATCTATTGGAATGTCATGGAGTAAAAATGAAGAACTGATACATTGTTCCACAGATAAATCTTATTTGTTAAAAAGGCAACAACTTTATATTGGCCAATGCGAAAGCATCGTGAATTTATGTGAAAATAGTAGACAAATTCACTTCGTTTACAAAATGACTGCCTGCGTAAACGTATGTATAATATCTTAAAACTCGATGCAGAAAATGGTCTTTCCTATGGTTGACACAACTTGGCATGTCAAACTGAACATATTGTATTTTAAATGGAATAGAAATGACAAACATATGGATAAACCAAGAATATATAACAATCACTTTTCAACAAATTTAGAACAAAATGGACATTTACAAGCATAAATAGTATAGCAGTACCAGTTCTAGAAACTCTAGTAGGCTGTCGTCTAACTGAAACTTACCTTATTTTAATTGATCAAATATATAAACATTTTATGTACAGCATTGGTATATAAACACACAACTATAAATAGATTCAAAGTAAAAAACAGAACATATCACAAAAGAAAAATAATACATTTTTACATACTACACTCATTCATCTGCACTCTCTCACTGTAGTATGCGCTTTTAATATTGTTATTGATCATATCTATTCATCTTTTGAGTCATGTACTTATCTCTAAAGACATTTTAAGCTGGGTACAAATATAATGGTTTGATGTGTAGCTTTTGGCTAGGTCAATACAGCCTAAAGTTTAAGTCTGCATATATGTAGAGAATAATAATAATAATAATAATAATAATAATAATAATAATAATAATAATAATAATAATTAATAATAATAATAATAATAATAATAATAATAATAATTATAAGAAGAAGAAGAAAATATTGTGTTAATCTGCATCAAGGAAAAATAGATAAGATTTCCACGCGGAAATAAGAGTTTCAACATTGTTATTTATCAATGCAGTCTCTTTTTCAACGTTGTAACAATATGTGATTTCAACGTTGTAACAATTTGTGATTTCTTTAGCTCCGACAATTGTGGGAATACTCTTAACTTTTGAATTCTACATAGATAAATATACATCTTAAAGTAAATTAAAATTAGATTTTTAGTTTTTGATGGAGAACTTTCATATGTTAAGCCAAAAATAATTTCGTCAGCAGTTTATGATGGAAAAATATTCTTTTTTGTTTTGAAATAGATATCAATGATGTCCTTTACATAACTAACAAAAGTTAACAAAGTTAACAAAATTTTCATTGCCAAAACAAAAGTTCGGTAGTTTCGTTTTCGTTTTTACAAAAGATACAAAAAGGATTACCATTATATTTAATTTTATGCAAATAATAGTGGGACAGGTGATAATTATTCTATGAAGAATCCTTTTTTGAAACCACTGTATCTAAGAATATTTTGTTATTTTAAATGGCATTTCGTATTTTTTTCCATTTACTTTCTTTAAAATGAAGATCAAGCGTTTGCATTCAGGTTTCTTTACTTGTTGGTTGTGTGTTATTAGTATTAAATAAATTGTAGGTTTCTTTTGATCCTTCATTGTTAATAATTATGTTTTTAAATAAGGAGGCAATTTTGGTCCATAAGGTTTTTTTTACGACATTCATACTAAAATTAAATTTTGTCATAACTTCATTTATCATTTTTAAATGCCAGGAAAGTTTAAAAAGTTTGCATTAAGCCTGAATATTTTATTAAAATCTTCTAATGAAAGAAAAGCACCGTAAGAATCAAACATATCTCCGATATAATTTACACCGGCTTTAAACCATGAATTAAGAAATATACTTTTATTGCAAATTAGTAATTTATTGTTATAAAACAATAATGGGACATCTCGTTCAAATTAATCCATAAATAAACTGACCTTGAAACTTTCTATTGTTAGTTGATAATCGTTTCAAACCAATTTAAAAAATATTAGTTTGTAGTTAAGTTGTAACGTATATATAAATAATAACTGTGGCCAATCTACTGTTATTATAGTTATGTTGTAAGAAATAATTACAGGAAATTATTTCGCCATTTTGAAAGGTTTTCAGTATACGACGTAACAGTTACCCGAGAAAAGCGTAAGAGTAAGAGTAACATGAAAACCCTACTAAAATCTTCTGTTCCTTGACTATACTAAATTACAATAAACAAGATTTTGTTTACGCCAATGTATTTGAACAAAACAAATTTTAATGTTCATGATAGTTCTGTTGACGGACCAATTTAGACATAAGGCATATCTTAACGGCAAATATATTCTTGATTTGAGGATATAAAATCAACAACAACACATGGATATAAAATTATTGTTCCTACATGTACTTATCAACATGTCGGTTTATTTCACTTTCTATATTATCCTAAATAACAAAAACAATATTTTGTAAAATAACAATATTATTGTATTAAAAACTACATTCATTAACAAAGTCATGCTAAATCGTTGCTAATCAATAAGTTAAAAACAGAACATACTGAAAAGTGTGTTCATTCTTAGAATCGTGGAATCCTGTTATTATGTTACATTCATATTAATTATAGCTTTGTTATTCATCGTTTTGTTTGCTGTTGTTTTACGTTAAATGTTATGATATTGTATGATATTCTACTAAATATTTAATAATACTGACCTTACAGACGTGGTGACGTATCGCCGTATATAAAATAATGCAACCGACGGCAATAAGATTTCCAAACATCCAATTGTCGAGCCATAACAAAGTTGCAACCGGTTGGACCTTATTATATATCCCTGCCCAGTGCATAATGATTGTTGTCATAGCAGCCCCGCAAAGTGTAATCCTTGGTGTAAAATTATCATCGAACAAAAGGGAAAATGTACTAATCACAACTAGAACAATTGGAGTACCTATTATTGTATTGTTTGCCGGATAATTCCTTTTGATGATCAATATCGTGGTCAATGTAGAAAAATTACCACCTGAAATTTAAGTTAGTCTAACTAAAATCTTAACTGTTCTATATATTCTCATGCGTCTATTTTTAAGAATTATAAATGACAGTTTCGACACTACCTTATACAAATAAAAGAAATTACAATAATTCTTTTAAAGAAATATATTAAATGAACAATTATATCGGTACATTTCAGAGTAATCATGCAATATAAAATACAAGAAATTACAGTAAAGAATATCTACGTATTGCCTTTTAAATCCCATCTAAACAATTTAGGAAGATTTAATTTTGTAGTTGTATAGAAAAATGAAAACTTTATTTAATGAATGACTTTGGAATGAAAACTCTTATATACTAACGCACCTGAATCTATCACATAAGACGCGACTGTTTCAGATTTCTTAAGTGAGACAGTTTTCGTACTCTGTACGTGATCCATCACAGGGTTATCAGATAACCAAGAAAGTTGAACATCCTCTTGTGTAAATTCATCTAAAATTTTAAAACATACAATCAGTATATGACTGTATGTAAAGTGTCAAGCAATTCAAATGATGTGTTTTAATGAAAGTGACATAATGCTCATTTTTTTCATTGGCAAGTTTAACTGATTTGACTATGTATTTTGAAAGATCGACTGCTATTATGTTGATTTAGAATAAAATATAGATCTGCCTAAGATATAAAAAGCTATCTACTCTTTAATTGATCTTTACAAGTAAATTCCGATTGATGTTTTCCTTGGTCATGTGAGTTATTAATCGTTCACGCGGCGGAATTAATTATTAAATTGAAAAGAATTATGGCCAAATTTTAACTTATTTTATTTTCGCCTGTACACTCATGATCTATTCTTAAAAAGGCATACTGTCAAGTGTTAAAAACGGGTTAATACAGTTCTGATGAGATAGAAATAGGTCGTACATGTAGCAATAACTCTGTTCCTGATAATGTGTATAATCCTGTTCCTGATAATGTGTATCTTTTCAAACAATTAAAACGTTTTCAGAATTGATGCGATTTTCAAACTTTGATTTGTGCATCAATACAAAATATTTATAAGAAAGGCATACTTAAATGTAAGCCTGGTCAGCCTTCATAACTTTGCAAAAGAGAAACTTTGAATGTATCTTTGAGCCGTCTATGTCCGATCGGTTAAGGTTGTTTACTTCAAACCAATTGCCCCTTATAGCTGTTGGTTCGAATTCAGACAGGGGCTTTGGATTATTTCATTAGATCATTAAAAGGAAGATATACAGGTTGCTAAAGGACCATCGGTGTTTCTTCTCAAAGTACCTGACCTTGCCTGAAGTAAAGTATATATTGGTCTGTCACTAAAACTTAAGCTGGAAGGGCACCACATGCACTATACTGTGCTGGTGCGACGTAGATCCACCAAAACATCGACATCAACAACAACAACAACAATAATACAAAATACGCACGCACGCGCGCACACGCATACAATAACAAATAAAAAACCTACAGCTTTGGAGAGTTATCTGACAGTGTTGCTCATCATATGGGTAATAATCGAGATTCATTTCACACAACATTCTTGTCGTAAACCTGTAGCAAAATATACTTTTGTTTAATATAACGACAAAAAAGCAGCACGTCTTGACTATTTTCCCCTTTATAAAAATAATAATAGTATCTGTAGGTAATAACGGTGCACTAACGTTGACTATATAAAAATATAAATTAATTTTAAACTTCTTATATCAGATTTTATCACATTAACGTAATGGATACGATATGTGTTATTCCTGAAAGGTAATAATATTCCAGCTACTTATGTCTAAGATTAAATTGACACATAAAATTAATAGATAGAACTCGATTGCATTTGTAAAAATTGCTAAGCCACCGCATCATACTGGACCAGGCAAATTTGACACACACGCACGCACACACGAACATACGCACATTCACACACATACACATACAGGTAGATCGCTTTATACCATCGCTTTGCAGATACTGCGGTGGCTTAACAAAAACATAAATCATTTCCATAATGAAAGTTTGGAATATTAAACTATTATTAAGTGTCAACAGCTACGCATTAATACCTGTGATTGAACACTACGTTTCCGGAGCGGTTAAAAACAATCAACTCGTTTTTACTACCAAAGCCAGTAATATAAGGTTCTCGGTTCTCCAGGATAAATATATCAGGGACCCATGGTTTCAATTTAGCTGAACCACGAATTATAAAAGAAGGATATGACGCTTTTGCTGAGTAATCTAAACGACTGTCAATCCAATGCAAAATCACTGTAGTAAGGCCCGAAATTTCCTGTAATTTTTAAGACATAAAATGAATCAACCTGGTAGTGTTTTATATAAGAAATTGATATTTTGCATAGTATGACAATACTCTTTGTCACACTGAATTGTATGAGATTGCAATTTTCCGTCTTTTAAGGCATCACCTTTTGGTTAATAACGATCCCGTTTTAAAGCATAATATATTACAAGGTTTATTTACCTGATCATAAATTATTGCTTACACTTGTATCCTGTAAAATAACATTGTTTTTAAAGATCAAAATCAAAATGCTATATCAAAATGGGGCTACATGGCCATATATATGCTCTGCACCTTGTTGATTGGAAGAAAATAAATATAGGACATAGAATATACAGACAGTATACTTGAAAAAATCATTTAAAGAAAAACTGTCTCCTCTAATAAGGTCAAACGGAGGTAATGTTGTAAAGAAACAACTGCAGGTACTCTCGACATCTTTTTTCGAGTCCGAAGTTTACAATATTCCCTTAAAATTGATAGCTTATATACATTTATATCATTTACAACTTGTTGATTTTTGGTGAATTTACATTTTATATGTAATGTTGGTTGTTACTTATAAGACTGACTTCATTCAAAATAATAGAATCATATCAACCAATGAATAATCTCTTCAATTATTACAATCTCAAAATTTAAAAAAGAATAAAAATAGATATAAAAAAATAAGTTTGATTAAAAAACGTAAATAAGCACTACTTCTGGAAAATAAGGAAGGTAACATACATATTCATTGGAAGGAATCATATCAATAAATTCATACATTGTAATCTCCCTTGGTAATATGTGGGTATGCCTTGATTTAAGGAACCTTATAGCTTCTCTTTACACATCAAAGCAGTAGTAATAATTTCTGCTGTCAAAAAGATTTAATTTCCAAACTTTTGAAATTAATATTTTTTAGTGTGAAAGTAAAAACTGCGCTCTTGTCCCCTTATGGTTAATATTTCTGCCAAGTAGTTTTTTATACCTCGGTTCAAACGATACAGACCGTGGACGAAAACTTCTATCTAAGTCTATATATGATATAAACCAATTAATCCTCGGAACGGGGCAATTTGATCTAAGGAAGCCTGAACCTGTGTTAGATCTGATCTTGACCTGAGAAAAGTCGATTCCACGGCCTGCACATTGTCTAATAGAAGGACCGACGCACAGACGACGACGTGCATAACATCGTACGCCGAAATATGTGCGAGCGTATACAAATGAAAGGGTTTTCGAGATAAAGCCACAAAAATTCAGTATAATTTCTGACCGCCATTCGTACATTTTATGTTCTACTTTAATTAGTTTAAGTTTAAATGTATAGCACAGTACACACAATTTAAAAGTACTTACCGAAGCTTGTTCATTTTCCATAATTGTATCATTTATAATAAGCTGAATTTTCACGTTAGTTGGCTTGCCTTGTAAGTAAACAAAATATTAATTAAGATAAGATTTCAGACAACAACAAATTATATAAGTTGTATTTCTTGTAAAACACATGCATTTAGATGTACGTTTAAGTAACACAGGTCACTTTATGAAATTAATTTATAAATTCAATCATGCATAAATCAGATAAATAATATAATTGAATAAAATGACATTATCATCAATTTTATTACCGCAATCAATAATTAATTAATTAATTGCAATTAATTATGAATGTCTTAATAACAGAGATTAATTGCAATTTATAAAATTCTTACTGAATATGTCTGATATCAATAAAAGAATTAATAAAATATGAATGGAAAGCTGTCTTCCCTACTACAGATCAAGTAATGTTGGTCTTTTCTTAAAACAACTGGCAGTTGTTTGTTTTTAAATAACTATATATTCATACTGTGACCGCCGATAATGGTTAATATGTAAAACAAAACATACTTACTTTGTTTTAAGTTAACACATGTTTATTTCATATTTAGAAAGGGACAGTGCAGTAATATTCAATATGTTTAAATTTGGCATATCTTTAATTTATAAAGTTTTACATCGAAATAAATGTTTTAGAAATTATGTCAGTACGTATGCTAAAGATGTATTAGGCTTAATTTTGATATTTGAAAATATTGATAATTGCTACACAATTCCTTTGTAAATGTCAAATTAACATGTGTTCAGTACACAAAACGGATATGTAAAATGTTTTGAACTCTACACGCTACAGGTAGACACAGTGTGAATAGTGTAATAAAAAAACTGGCAGTTTTTTTAAAGAAATGGCTAACTTCGGTTGACTATTAATAAGGAATGCAGTTCCCACTACAACGTTTGTGCAATTAAACATAATCAGTAAGACTTTCATAGATTACGATAAATTTCTGCAATAAAAATATCTTATTAAAAGATGAGCCAAGTATATCTTTAAAACAAGAGAAAGAAAAATAGATTATTTAACAAACATTTCTAATAACTGAAAAATAAAATGCTTGAAATGATTTCTAATGCGTCTATATTTCATGAAAAAATGTGGTTACATCATATTGTGACATATGAGGAATGTTTTGCAGAAAAAAATAGAGGCTTCATTGGATATCAATGGAGTCCGTCAATATTTGCCTTGAACATTGTATAATGTTATTATTTAAATAATGAATTGAACGATACATCGAAAAAGAAGCAAAAACTGTTTTGTAAAATGCATAAAGAATGTTATATATATTTGCATTGGGAGAATATAATACATATTTGACATGTTCAAAAAAAAAAATAAATAAATAAATAAATAAATAAAAAATAAAATAATAATATTAATAATAATAATAATAAAGTAAAAAAAAAACCCGAATACTTCCAAAATGCTTATGTAAAAGATAAAAGGAATGACATTGCATTAAAAGCGAATGCATTGAAACAATTGCTAAACTTTACATTTTGTTTTGGAACATTTTATCTCTGCACACTTACAGTATTCATTTGTCTTGAATAAAAGCGGCATTCTATGTTACATTTTCCCCGAAAATCGACCATACAATTAATGAAATAAAACAACTTTAAAATTGTTCAATTTTCTAAGTAATCTTGAATACTGTTTTACATAAAGAACAAGAATTTCGAAAAATATGTGTAAATACCAATTCAAATAAATTCACATTTGATCTTGTTTAGGCCTGAAGCTGATTTGACCATACGCAAGTATATGGGCGAATTTGGATCTTGAATATCATTTTATGGATCTTGAATAGCATTTTAGACCGCATATCATGTACAGGCTGAAATTTTATGAATCGTGCACCAAGGATAAAAATGCTCCTACCCTGGGGTTATATAGTATTATATAAAGGTAATTAAGATAAACCTTTTTTTTTTGCCCGAGGGTTTCAGTTAAAATGTTTTGCTAAAAGTTGCTCTTCAGTTTTTTCACAAAAACACATGGATTTAGAGATTTATTAGTATCATATTTTACACCAAATTGTAGCTGATGAAATTATCTTTTGGAATATAAACTTAGATTTCTGATAGAAATAGTGATTTAGAGAAATTTTGAACAAAGTGTTTTTTTTTTGTCTGTATTGGATTGGATTTACCTGGGCATATTTACTTGAATTTACCTGTGTTAAATTGATCAGAGTGAATTATTGGATTAAGTCATACAAAGGATTATCTTCTATAATAGCCACACTATACAGGATTATACAAAGGAAAACTGTTAACTGATCAAGAGTATCCATCTGCAGGTCAAAGGTCAAAGGTTTGAACATCTTTTCCTGGCCATTACTTTTTTGTTTATAATTGAATACAATAGAATAAAATACAATGTCAAATAGAGGACAAGGCCAGACATTGGGTAATACCAAGCATAATTGCCAACAACAACATAACTCATTGAAAGGGAAATCTAATACAGATGGACCACCTCTTAAAAATAAAAGAACTCATTTTGATGTGAGTTAATAAAGCAATACTAGTATGATTGGTCTGTCTGTTATTCAAACACAACTAGATGAAATGAATGAAAGTCTTAGTGAAGTAAAAAAGAATCTGAATCAAGTTCTTAAAAAGGAGGATATTGAAGCTCTGATTAAATCAACTGTTTGTAACATTATGGATAAACTTGAAAAAAAAGATGCATGAAGATATTGAGAACAAGGTTCAAGAAAAAACAAAACACTTAAATGAAAAAATTGACTCGATAAGTTTTGAAAATCAACAATTGACAAACCAGCTAAAATCTACATCAACCACCCTACAAAAACAGATAAATGACTTAGAAGAACAAATCCAACACAATGAAAAGAGAAGTAAGGATGCTTTGAAAAACTGCAACTATAACGAACAATACTCACGTAAAAATAATGTAAAAATAATGGATGTTCAAGAAGATGAAGGTGAAAGTAACAGCAACCTGTTGACAAAAGTACGTGATATCTTTCAAGGAAGGGTGGAATTTGACCAGTGCTTATGAAAACCATGAATAACAATTTTAAGTCCAAATTGATGAAAAAAAGGAAAGAATTGAAAAAGATTGGTCATAGACTGGTAGATGATGTCACATCAGCCAACACTGGTTTGATCAACCGCCTACAACTACATTCTGATAAAGAAAGTGCTTGGTACTTTAATGGTTCTGTCTATGGAATGACACACACCACAAATCGCATTAAGTTTGACTTATATGACAACATAAATGAAGTTATTGCTGCATCCAAAGCCCATTCCAACAGTGGAAGGAGATAAAGTGAACTCAGACAGACAAGTATAAACATTGTATATTATAAAACATTTCTGTTTGTTCTGATGTGTTTGTTTTCTGTTTGTTTGAACATGTTTTTCTTTGTTTTGTTTTTTCTTTCTTAACAGAAAACAATAATGTAGTTTGTTATTGAATCCTTAGAATTAATATTTATTTTCTAAAGACCATTTAACTATTGCTATGGTCCTTTACAAATTTCATTCTAGTGTTGTTGTTTTTTTATACATGTGAAGATTAATCCTACTTTTGGGAAAACCCAGGTAAGCTTAAATGCATAAAATATAGTGCTATTTTTAGAACAATTTAGGTTTTCCAATAAATTTACAGCTATATCCAATTATAGAGTACTCTGCGTTTATAAATCAGTGACTTGTGTGTGCTGTGTTTTTTTGTGTGTGAAAGATTGAACATTAATTCATTTTGTTGCAATGCTGTTTATTTTTGTTTTGTTAATATATCATTTTACTTGTATGTTGTTGAGGCTTGAAGTGTTGTTATATTTGGTTTATATAATATTAGTCAAATGTAGTTGTTACTTGAATTGTATTAATAGAAGGAAAGGTATAAATGAATCAATATACAATGGGTAGTCTCAAAATTTTCTGTTACAATTGCCGTGGTTTAAATGATAGTATTAAAATACGTGATGTGTTAAATCTTTAAAACTAAAGAAGCTGATATACTTTGTCTGCAAAAAAACCCATTTTATAAAAGATATAGAAAATAACATTTATTCTGAGTGGAATGGTTTATGCTATTTTAGTCATGGAAAATCTAATGCCAAGGGTGTAGCAATTTTATTTAGAAAGAATTTAAATATTAACATTAATTCAGTTAAAACTGATGATAATGGATGTTATTGTTTGTCTCTTCAACTTTTATATTAGTCAATGTTTATGCACCTAACATAGATAGTCCAAATTTTTTTAAAAGTATTTTTGATGATATTGATACCTTTAATGAGAACGACTCCCTAATAATTTGTGGAGACTTTAACCTAGTACAAAATCCTGAATTAGATTATCATAATTATAAATCAAGAAATAATAAAAATAAGGCTAGGAATATTTTACTAGATATTATTGAAGAAAAAAAAACTTGTTGACCCATTTAGAGAGTTACATGGTGATGTCAAAAAATATACATGGCGACGCACAAATCCTATAGAGCAAGGTATACTTTTTTTTTTCTATTGTCAAGTGATTTGTATCAATATGTAAGAAAATGTGATATTGATATTAGCTATAAGTCTGACCATTCAATAATATATTTAGATATTTGTTTTGTTCATGTGACTCATGGTAAAGGTTTATGGAAATTTAACAATGCTCTTTTAAAGGATATTGAATTTTTGAATATTATTAATGAAAAAATAAATGAAGTAAAGTTACAATTTTGTTTACCAGTATATAATATTGATTATGTGTTGGATTTAAAAAATAATGACATAGAGTTTGTTATTTCTGATGATCTTTTTTTAGAAACGCTTCTTATGGAAATAAGGGGTAAAACCATTTCTTATAGCTCTTTTCAGGTCAAAAAAAAAGAAATATTTTTGAAAAACAACTTATGGAGGAAATTATTTAACTTGAACAAAATTTGACAGATGACAATAAAGAAAAGCTTTTACATTTACAGAATGAGCTAAATAACTTAAGATCCAACAAAATAAGAGGAGCTATGATTAGGTCAAGGTCAAAATGGATAGAATGTGGAGATAAACCTTCTAATCATTTTTTTAAATTTAGAGAAATCACATTGCACAGAAAAAGTCATACCTTTTATAGAAATGGATGAAGGAACATTTACTTATGACCAAAAGGATATATTAGAAAAAACTTTTATATAATATAAATTTATATAATGAGGTAAATTTATTTTCAGAATCAAACATTGATAGCAAACTAAGAAATTGTGTAGTTACTAAAATAGATAAATACAGAAACCCTAAAGAAAGCCCAACACGGCAAAATTGAAAATGTTGCAGGCTCGGTTTGATTAAGCCTGTTCATGGACGGTACTGGAAAGTGCAAGTTACCGTCAACGCCCCCTAGCACCGGCTTAAGCAGAATTCAACATTTAAACGTGAAACAGTATAATTTTGAATTTATAAACATCAGCAGATGTGTTCATACGGCAGTTATCATGGAACCTTCAATGTGACACTTCCGTGCCATTCCATGAAAAGCGGCGTATGGTCCCCAATTAAGTTGACAAATGATGAATCATTTGATCTTGAAGGTTTATGAAGAAGATTCTTTAACATTAAATAATATGAAAAATAATAAAAGCCCGGGTTGTGATGGCTTTTCAACAATTTTTTTTTAAAACGTTTTGGAACAGAATTGGATATTTTGTAGTTAGGGCTATAAATTATGCTTATAATGTAAATACTTTTTCAAGAAATCAAAAACTAGGGACAATCACATGTATTCAAAAAGAAAATAAAGCAAAACAATTTTTGAAAAACCGGAGACCAATAACTTTATTAAATGTTGTTTATAAATTGGCATCTGGTAGTATAGCAAATAGAATTAAAGGTGTTTTAGATATTTTAGTGTCAAAAGATCAAACTGGATTTGTTAAAAATAGATATATTGGAGAAAATACTAGATTATTGTATGATATAATGGAATATACTGAAGATAATAATATACCTGGTTTAATTATGATGATCGATTTCGAAAAAGCCTTTGATACATTATCTTTTAAATTTATAGAAAACTATCTTTTACTGTTTAACTTTGGTCCTATGTTAAGGCAATGGATATCATTATTTTTATATTATACTGAAACATTTGTTATTCTAAATGGTTTTTTATCTACGTTATTCAAAGTTAAACGAGGCTGTAGGCAAGGTGGTCCAATTTCACCGTATATTTTCATTTTATGTGCAGAAATATTAGCTATTAAAATAAAACAATGCAATGGTATTAAAGGTATACATATAGATGGTGAAGAATATAAAATTACACAATTTGCAGATGATACATCACTTTTGTTAGATGGTACTGAACAATCATTAAATAATGCTCTAAAATTGTTGAATATATTTTCAGAGAATTCTGGACTAAAAGTAAATTTTGATAATTTAAAACCAAAGTCATTTGGATAGGTTCCCTTAAGTACAGTACTAGATCAATTAAGACAAAATGGAAACTTACATGGGGTGATACACAGTTTAAATTGCTAGGTTTGATATTTGATGTAGATTTAGACAAAATGATTGATTTGAATTTTTATGAAAAACTACAAAAGGTAAAAAATAGTATAAGTCATTGGAAAAAAAGAATGTTGGCACCAATAGGTAAAGTCACTGTTGTTAAGTCTATTTTACTTCCATTATTTACACATTGTTTTACAAGTTTGCCAACTCCTAGTGCAGTATTTTTAAAGTCCCTCAGTGATACATTTTATGTCTTTATATGGGGAGGCAAGGCAAAAATAAAACAATCAGTTATGACAAAGACATACAAAGAAGGTGGTCTTAACATGGTTGATATTTATAGTATATACACTGTTTAAAGATAAAATGGCTTAAAAGGTATGTTAGTAATAGTGATTGAAAATGCTTTAACCTTGTAAAATCACTGTTTAATATTGATAACATTTTGATACTGGAAAATTGTTCTGTGATTTGATTATTAATAAGATTAAGAATAGATTCTGGATTGATGTATTGAAAGCCTATATTGTACTTATTGATAAGCTTATTATAGATGATTTTGAACAAGTGCTACATATGCCACTATTTTATAACCCTAAATTGTTAACAGGAAGTAATATTTTTTTCATTAAATCTTTATATGATCATGGATTTAGATTTGTACAGGATATTTTAAATCAACATAGAGAATTTTTAGACTTAAGTTACATAGAACAAATTACATGTAAACCAATTAATTTTATACAGTATCATAGTTTGAAATTGGCAACAAAAAGATACACACAAAACCTTAATATTTGTATTCAAAATGACTTACTGTATGTTAAGTATCCTATTATAAGTTGTTACATCAAACCTATTATAGTTGTCAATAGTAATCATAAATATGTTTATGAAACCATGATAAAGACTATAGAGGTGCCAACATGCCAAGAAAAATGGATATCTTACTTTGGAGACATTTCCCTAAATTGGCAGTTTATATATGGTTATGTATTTAAATGTACTAAAGATTCATACTTACAATGGTTTCAGACAAGAATTATTCACAGAATATTGGCAACATACTCTCTTTTATTAAAAAAGAAAATTAGTTAATTCTAAAATGTGCACTTTTTGTGAATGTCAAGAAGAAACACTGATACATCTATTTTGGGAATGCAAAAAGATTCAGCCAATATTTCAGTTTCTGAAAGAAAATATACATAATTTTGATACCTTTTTTAATTGTAAATCTTTAATTCTTGGCTGTGAATTAAATGACTATAGATATTTTATTTTTAGAATTAAAAAGATATATATATTTGTCTAAGCGAAAAAAATTGTAATGTACTTGTACTGGTTTTAAAAATAGCTTGAAATTAGCTTGGAATATTTATAAAAATATAAATTGTACAGCAGAAGAAATCAATAGATGGGCAATTGTTAAATCTCTTATTGTGTAACTGAAATAACTACATCAAAATTTGGTTATTCCACTAATATAAAAGACAACAACTTCAATGCATACAAGATATTTCTTTCAGATGTTAATTTTGCTTTTCTTTCTTCGTTTTATAAACAAAATAAAGGATATAGATATTAATCTTATTAATTACATGTATATGTGTTATCTCTTTAATCATTATGAAATGTGATATAATGACATAATGTATATGATATGTTTGATATATATGTTGAATTGTTTGTTAGATTATATGACTTGATTGATATATACATTATGATTGAATTCAATACATGTAAGGTATGATGGGGATGCCCTCGACCCATTCAGACCTATTACGAGGAAAATAAACGGGTTACCCAGTTGGTGCCTCAAAAAAAAAAAAAAAAAAAAAAGATAAACCATTTTAGGTGAAATTTTATGAATGTATCTTTTACCGTTTTGAAAGATAAGATAAATTTTCATTCGGCCATATATTGCAAGGTGTCTTATAATCACTTTGATAGTAATACATAAAAATCTAATATCGGGTCATACCCACCCCACCCCCACCGCCCGATATTTTTTCACAATTTCTGTGTTAATTAAACGTTCCTGCACTACTTGATATATGATTATTATAAAAATTTAATGCCTTTCTTATGTGTATTGATTTTACGTCGCAACACATGTATAGAGAATAATATATGTATATAGGTAAAGAATAACATACCTAGTCAGCGTTACATACCTAGTAAGTGATTTAAGACAAAGGACTGTGTAGTATTTCTCTTTTTTACTTTTTCTTTTGATAGTTCTTTAATATTCAATAGCAAGAAATATAATTTATTTGTCTTCACTTGTCATGTAATTGTTTGTGTTATGTAGATAATTAATACGTAAATGACCCCATAAACTTTATATTTATATTATTGACTGTACAAGTGTTGATTTATACACGTACACTGATATTTTGGGCTTTGTTTTAAAAAACATTCCTTTGTTTAAATTGGAACGATTTAACGATTTTATCTGACAGTGGCAAAGGGTTAAAGTATTTATTAATGTTTAAATCAAAAAATTTTTTATATTTAAAAAAATTAAATTTTTTAAAAAAAACATGGTTGCAATCAAAAATTAAACGTTCTTAATTTTAAAAAAGGGGGTGGGTAATTTTTTTTCGAAATTGTAATCTTTTTTCATGTCAAAAAAATTTAATCATACATGAGCAACATATAATTATGTGTACATTTTACTAATATCTTTATCTCGTTTTCATTTCTCAATAAAAATTTCTATATCAAATAACTATGTAATCCATCTTATCTAAATGTCATATCAAATCCGAATAATATATTGATGTAAAATAAAGATCACAATACATTGTTGTGTACAAAGCAGATTCACTTAGACAAGAACTCAACTGCCAATCCTATTTTGGACGAGGGGCAAACCAATAGAAGTAATATCGTACTCAACAATGTACGTTGACCTAATTATATTAATAAATTTTATGATAGCTCGTTTCATGATCAATCTTAATGTAGGTTAGTAGATTAAATTAAACTTTTTTCCTCCTATTTCTCCGCGATAAACGAGAATACATATATTCACATTTTTAAAAATATATTCAACTATCTCAAAACATTTCATTAAAAATAACACAGATGTTCGTCGGATATATGGTTTTATCTTCAACTGGCTATGTGTTGTATGATTTGAAATATTTCAACAAAATACCTTTATAGGCTGGGTTCTAAATCAATATATTCTTTTCAATTTGATATAGCCTGCAGAATTGTTTGAATTTATTTTGGGCTCATACCCATATATCCATTTAAATTTAATATAGCCTGCAGCATTGTTTAAATTTTAAACTGTCTAGCAAAAGGCGTAAATGCAACAATGTCAGGTTTTGAAGTACATGTCATTATCTGATGCTATAATAAATGGTATGTCGACACATAAATATTACTGACAACGTCAATCTTTTAAGTGTGTTTCTATTTGCTTTTGTTTTGTTCTTAACGAGCCTCTTAAAAACTACACTACAACTTGTATAATTACCTGGTGGAACACTCGAGTCGTAATGTGAGGGGTTGAGCAAGTCCTCTATCAATGTTTGTCTGTAAATGAAAAACAAATAAATACAGTTCTTTATAATTGTTTTCTAACATCCATTATCAAGATTAATTTGTTTCGAGTAACCAAGGTCACACCTTAGTATGTCATTACGAATTTTTCTGTATAAAATATCTATTTAAATTAATATAAAATTACAGTAAATTTAATCTACAAGAAATTAGAGATAATTCTCACCTAGAAACTTGTTCTCCACTTTCATGACAGTGCACAACTGATGGCAAATTTATCAAAATTACTGTCCAAAAGATGTCTGTCATGACATTGGAATCCATTTTACTTATTTGCGCATTGACGTAGTCACAACGAGTAATCAATCTAAAAATAATTGTGAATTTGAAATGAATCAATATCGTAATGATATACCGTTCGGGAATACCGTATGATTCAATTAGACATGAGGTGATTGGATGAAAATGGGGATATTTTGATGTTTAAAAACTAATTTAAAAAGAAACACTACATTGTTTTCTTTCTGAATAGAATGAAATATTTCATGAGTCATTATGATAATTTTTGACTTGGATAATTGCATTTATAAAAAGTGTATGCCAGTCCTGTGATCAGCAGAAAATTTCAATGAAATGTTGGGGGGGGGGGGGGGGGGGGTAATCCTTTTTGATGTCATTTTGCAAAAACATTAGCTGGCTACCCCACTATAACAGGAACATTTTTAATGTGTCAGTGTGTCAGGCATTTCATTACGCTAGAAAAATCATCTCTTTAGCATTAAAACTCAATTTAAGGTACGGTTAGGGACAATTTCAAGTTATCAAGTTATGTAATTCTATGGAAAAATCAATGTGAATTTCTGACCTAGAGAGAGGAACGTTTGAATTGTCGTATTTATTCATTTGTAGTACTTTGTCTTCATTGATTATCATGATTGTTTGGAAGAATAGATGGATTAGCCTTTCTAGGTATGAAATTTTATTATTTCAATGCAAATGTTGGTGTTTACAGCAGAAAATGTGTCAAGGGGGTTCATCTGCAAGCACTGTATACATATCACAAGTGTATTTGAGTTATACTTAACAATTATATTTTTTTTAAACAGTGAATTTGTGTGAAAATCAATTGATGATATATAAATGACCACTAATGTAGACCTTGGTCATTAATTTTTTTTCAGATTTCAAAGAAATCCTGTCATTGGCTATACACATACCTGGTTTGAAGATTGCATATTTAATTTGACAGATCCTGATGTAAGACGACTATGTTTAGGGGCGGAAATTTCTTCGCTTGGCACTTATTTTTTTCTCCATTTTGCTCGAATAATTACATAGAATATCACAAGTAAAAAGCTTCTATGCCTGTTTCCAATGTAAGAATGTCATGTGTTTCTTTTACAGGCATAGATAACATAAAGCTTGAAATGAGTGGCTTTTTAAGGCCTCTGTCTTAAAATTGACTTGGTTCCAGGGCATCAATATCAACACATACTTAAAGATTGATATGCACCGAAAAATGTAGCTTATTCAGTTCAGTTGCTTCTGAATAGCATCTTATTATTTGTTTTAGATGCAAAATAGTGATAATAATTGACTTTTTTCCATTTGGTAATAAATTTTTTCACATTCACAATGTAAAATGTCATATCTTTTAGACTTTATGTCTGTTTAATGCATATTTGAATGTGCATCATAATGGCCAAAGGTAGAATTATTTTATACAAAACGTTTTATTGATAAGTAAACGTAATCTGCTTTTTCACAATCATGTTAGGCACAATTATAACACAGCTTTAATGCCTCTGATATGTCTATAAACAGGAAAAGCAATTATGCAGGTAGATAAATGTACACAAAGGGGATAATTATGCACAACTTCAGTGAATTACCTCCCTTTATTTATTAAGAAACTTAGATAAGTGCTTGCATTTCTAGTTTCTGGCTACCTAAATGTGAAGAAAATACACAAATACTTTCCATTCTAAGTACATTTCGGTTTGAATAGATTATATACAAGTTAAAACACCTGAAATAAGGTTTCTTTTGTCATATTGAATTAAAACATAAATTAAACCTCGTTTTCATTGTCTTATCAAAAACTTCGATATCCATTAACTATGAAATCCATCTAGACTCAATGTCATATCAAATCCGAATTATATACGAAGTAAAAATTTAGTGATGTAAAATAAAGATGTCATAATATATTGTTGTGTACAAAATATATTCAGTTAGACGGGAATTCAACTGCCAACCCTATTTTGGACGAGAGGCAATCCAATTGAAGCACTATCGTACTCATCAATGTACATTTACCTCATTATATTGATAAATTTTATGTTTATCACGTTTCATTATCAAACTTAATGTGGGTTAGTAGATTAAATTAAACGTGTTTTATGCCCAAAAAGGGAGGCATATTAAAATCGCACCGTTTGTCTGTCTGTCTGTCAGTCCGTTTGTCATTCCGTCTGTCTGTGCGTCCCCACTTCATTCGTATCCGGAATGTAACTTTGTCATACATTGAGGGATTTTGAAATAAATTGGCACAAAAGTCTACCACATCAAGACGATGTGTCGCGTTCAAGACCCTCGTCACTACTTCAAGGGTCAAGGTCACACTATCATTTTGAAGTTTCACATTATCACAATTAGAATTAATAGGTACACACAATCGTGTTCGGGCTTTTACCGTCATGCATCGAAGGATTTTAGAATAACTTGGCATAAATGTCATCCACATAGAAACGATGTGTCGCGTCTAAAAATCACGTCCCTCCCTCAAAGATCAAGGTCACACTAACATTTTTAAGTTTCACTTTATCACAATAAGATTTTATAGATGCACATTTTGTGTCGGATAACGGTTTTATCTACAACTGGCTATGTGTTGTATGATTTGATATATTTTAACAAAACAGCTTTAGAAGATTAACTTTGCTCATACCAATATATCCCTTTCAATTCAATATAGCATTGTCTTTTGACATACATGTATGTGTTTTAATTAATATTAAATTACAATAATTATTGATATGAGTAAATTCAATCTACAAGAAACTGGGCTGGGAATCAAAACTGCGTCGTATCCTACAAAATGTAAACAAACGTCGCCATTTTGGAACGAAAAATGTATGTTTATGATTATAACTCTTTTTTGTTTGAAATGACTGAAAATCTGAAATATGTATTAACACGCTACACTATTTTCTGCTTCATTCGGTGTATGAAGCTTGCACAACAATCTAACAAAAAGAGTTATAAACGAAAACATACCAATTTAGTTCGAAGATGGCAGCGTTTGTTCTACATTTTGTAGGGTACGACGCCGTTTTAATTCCCAGCCCTGATAAATTAAATATAAATCTGAACCTTTACATTTGTTCTTCACTGTAATGACAGTACACACTGTTTGAAGACTCATGAAAAACACTGACAAAATGACGGCGTTCACTTTTTTAAGCCCATTTCACTTTGTCTGTGGTGAACGTTGCTAATATGATTTGTGTCAAAATTTTAACACCGTTGAGTATTATTACCTGATACTTTAAATAAATGTAATTTGGTATTTTTTACTGTTTTCTGAAATTCTAAAACGTCAACGTTAGCGAACTGTTGACCGGTCAATAGTTTCGACTGTTTCCCTCGCATGTTCTGACGTCATTGACGTCAATTGAAGCGTCCATCGAACATGATCATAAACCAGACGTGACGTGACATAGTTAAAGTATTAAGTTAAATTATTAACATATGTGCAAAACTATAATTTTCGTTTTGAAGATTATCAGGAAGATTGCTGCTAGGAGAAACCTGGTCAAGTGTGGCCTCTTTTATGAAAATAAAATTTATAAATGACTTGTTAAAGTAAATGATACATAAGTAAAGAATCTTTAGGCCGTTTATTTACGCTGAATTGAAATTGGCATTTACCTTTACAGTAAAAGTAAATGCTTTTCAAAATGATAAGGACAAAGTGGCAATACATACCGCAGGATGGGACAAATTAAGCTAAACCCTGGGGCAAGTTCCAATTTAAGAAACTGTTGCTTTGTCACTTATTAAATTTTGTCTACCTGTACTGATAAATACTGAGACAATTATAAACAACGAATGCAAGTTTAATTTACAGCAGATGTATGACTAATATATTGTTTATGATAAGTGCGTTTGTCAATATGCTACACGCGTGTATGTATGTGTTTATGTGCGTGTGTGAATCAATCTGAAATTAAATTTAAGCAATTTAGGTCTAATGCACTGAAGTGCATTTATGCGTTTACACTAACGAACGTCAATAACATAAATTTCCTAGACATCATTTTATACTCAGATTAATTCTAGTCTATATCAGAGTGACATTATGACATTTATAAAGCAACATGCTATTAGTATCTGCGCAATCTTCATGCACTAACAGTGCAATCAATTCACTTCTCATTCGGCCTGCTGCTGGTCCAGTTCTCGAGATATACCAGACAAAATCATTTACATTCACTTTCCGAGCTTTCAGTTTGCTTTTTGATCGCCTTTGGATCTTTTTTATATAAAAAATGTTACCGAAATTATAAAACATCTCACAACAAGTAAAATCTTTACTTAAGGGTAGATCGACCCTAGTGCGTTACCTTCACTTTGAAGGGTAATCAAATAGGCTAGAATCACTGTCAATTGCAATGAAACTGAGGGGCGTTGATTCAAACACCAGAAGGGGCAATATTTTTTTCTTTCTTTTTTTTTCAACCATTATTTATGTATCTCTCAGATCCCTTATGGAAAGAAAAAAGTGTTTGATTTTAATTCTATACTTATTGTAGGTATTTTTTTGCTAAAAATGCCAAATTTAATAGCAAATATGATACCAGATATTTTCAAAGTTTAATGAAATAAAAACAACACAGTAAAAAAGAATTTTATTACGCAACGTCAACGAATATACTTTGAAAACATGGACAAATTTTGAAAACATCCCCTCCTTGTGGTAAATTTAAGGGATATTTTGAATTTGGCTGTTTACATAGGGAAATGGTCACATAAATGCTTAAACTGTGTAAGGCAGGATAACATTTTATACATAATAACAACATTTTGTTTAGAAAAAACAATAATTTTGCTCGTGTAATTTGTTACCTGAATGTTATCAACTGTTTCTTAACAATGAACAATATGACAACATTTTTCATAATGATGATATTATAGATTATCTAGAGTTTCTTCATATCGAAAAAAGAGCCCTTCTTATAGCAAATGTTTAATTAAAAAAAATGTCCATAACTCATAAGCCACACGGTAAATTATGTTTAAATTAATGTTAAATTAAACATACAGGTGGCCTTTAAGGCATAAGACAAACCTATTATGTCAGTTTTATAGTGCACATTAGGGGTGGTCTACCTTAATGTAAAATATTTACTCTTCAGTCAAATTATTAAATGTTTGTCTTCAAATTCGTCAAAAAAACAGAAAGCCGCCACTTTGCTTCATACGAAAATAGTTACGTCACAAGTGACGAAATATTGTACAAACGCATTCTGAATCTTTTATTGAATGCTTAAACTATCAACGTGCTGACCAAGGCCGGACTATCCAAGGTTTCTCCTACACCATGAATTTATCTCATTAGGACTGCCTTTGTATATACTTTAATACTTTTAAGATATAAATCGAAACACATAGTTAAATTTGCCTGCTTTTTTACAGAAATATACTGATTGTATTGTTCTTAAACTTTAGATGCATTTACTCATGAGGATGTTCAACTTTCTTGGTTATCGGTTAACCCTGTAATAGTACCAGTAAATAGCATGAAAAGCGTCTCTCTTACGAAATATGATACAGTCGTGTCTTATGTGATAGATTCAGGTACGGTAGTTTTAAAGAGTGCTCATTCTAAAGCCATTCATTACATTAACATATTTTCACTTTTCTTTACAACTATCAAATGAACTAATCTAAATGATTGACAAAGCAAATATACTTATTTATAAATATCCTTTACTTTATTTTCTTGTATTGATTATTGCATGATTGCTCTGAAATGTACCAAATTGAATATATTTGTTCTTTAAATATTTTTCCTTTAAAAGATAATTCTGATTGTTATACTTAGTTTTTAAACTACATACTAAGTTAACATAAGATAACAAAGGTAGAATCGAAATTGCCGTTGATTTTTCTATAAAGTACCAGTAATTGCATGTGAATATAAAGAACATTCAAGATTTGAATAAGACTTACTTAAATTTCAGGTGGTAATTTTTCTACTTTGATTACGACATTAAACATCACCAGAAATTCTACAGCAGACAATCAAGTTATAGGTACTCCAGTTGTGCTAGTTTTGATAGGGGCCTTGTCCCTTTCTTTCGGTGATAATTTTACACCAAGGATTGCACTTTGCGGGGCTGCTTTGATGACAATTATTATGCACTGGGCTGGAATATATAATAAGATCCAACCGGCTGCAGCTTTGATATGTCTCGACAATTGGATGTTTGCTAATCTAATCTTTGTTGGAGTGATTATTTCATATACGGCCATACGTCACCATATCAAGGTCAGTGATATCATTAACTATGTTGATCCTTGAAGAATATCAATACCTTAACTTTTTTTGGTTTCGGAAGATAAAACAACATGAAACAAATAAGAAAAATAATAATCTGTACGTTATAGTGAAACTAATGCATTTAACTGCGAGTTAATTAAGTGGAATTTCATGCAAAATTTTAAATGTCAATTCTCTTTTGTCTTAAGGCACTCAAAGAGAATTTTGTATTACCTTTCCAACATTTTGGAACTTTAAAATTGTATTAATTTGCACGAGTTTATAAGTATACATTTTACATGTACAAAGGTTTCTGTCCTACACCAGTAATACTAACATTATTGACACTTTCTCTGGGTCCCATGCCATGTTACATATATATCTTTATTTTTCATTTTGACAAATTTAAAGATTTTTGTTTAAATATTTGTTTAAACTTTGGTACAAAGAAGAACAAGAATAATCATTTTGGCACTGTTTAAATCCTGAATATTAACCATTTTTTGTCTTGTTATTTGTAAACTTTGCTTGTCTATACATCAATTTTAGATGTTAGTTTACCTTGCAAGATATCGTCAATATTAGTATTGCCTTACAAATAATTTACATTGAGGCCTACATATTTAACATATTGTGTGGACTAATTTATATCTCGATAAGAAACAGTTTTAAAATCTTAAACTTGTTTAAACTTTGATGAAGTAAAACCAAACAAAACATAAGACATTCAGTCTTTCCCTGGTGTTATGACAAAATTTTTTACAAGCCAATATAGACAAAACTAATACATGTCCGAGTAGTAATTAAGAAAAAAAAACACTTTTGTGTGCGAATATAATCAGCATATATGATAAGTTTTCATTCTTGATCTATTTTAATTACACTTCGGAACCCCACAATTGTTCTTACACTATGTTTTCTACCTCTAAGGTTAGAATAAACAAAAAGGTGATTAATATACCAATTAATTGCAAGTTTCCACATATGGTATCATGGTCAACTGTATCAAAAGTTATTTGTAGGTTTAGCATTATCAAGCCGGTGTATAAGCTGAATATATATATTATTATTATTTCTAATATTATCCATAAGCTGGATATGTCATGTTCCAGTAGAATAGGAATTTATACAACCAGACTGTAGTTCATAAATAAGTTTTCTAAACTATAACATACAAAATATTAACACAAACAAAGTCCGGAAAATCAACATTTTGTACATAAGTCAAATGTTACCTTTAATAAAAACATTCATTTCCAGTTTGATGATTTTCTAATTACAATGAACACTTTTCGACATGCATTGTTTTGTTATTTCCGACTAATCAGCACATGTAAAGCTTTACATTGTTAATATATTTTCAATATTTTTGTTTACCAAAAATTTAGCACCCAGGTGAAAGAAAAAAGGTAAGTAGAGTTTTTCTTATTCTCTCTCATTATTCTTGAGTATACACAGCACTTGATGAGTCATATTGTTGAACTCTTAAATAATCCATGTATTCGAAATATACCCGATGCATACATACAAACTTATACTTACAAAGAAGATAGATTATCTTTTCAGCAGTACATTATACTTACTGTGAGCAAGATTGATAGGCTATCTTATAACTATTTGCATTTTTGATAAACACATTAATATTATATGTTATGAACTAAATTTAAAACTACAGTTTGAATGAATAAACCATTCTTTTAATAAAGGTAATAAATAAGTTTATTTTTCTTAGTAACCATACCATTTTGTTAATATTATAAATATTGTTCAAATAACACAGATTAGTCCTTTTTTCCGATCTCATTTCAAATAAAAATTTACTCGGTACTTTTTCAGTTCAAACATTTGATTGAAAAGTCTATAGGGAGTGACCTTGACGAAAAAAAAAGAGAAAAAAAAGAAGAAGATGTCATTTGGACTAATGTGAAAACTTGGGTTCCAGGCCAAATAAGTGATCCCGTTAAAACAAGTGATTCAGGAATTGAGACGAGGGATAGTTCTTATGATCAAAATCGTCCTCTGGAGAGTCCAATAAATAAAAATACTCATTTTCCTTGGACGGTTAACCGTACTTTTTACGCTGTAGGGGAAGACGAATTGAGGAAAAAATATTTCACAGAATATTTTATGGTATGTTGATATTTGGAATTGTATTTCAATATGCTTTCATAAATGTAAGTGTTATGAGTAAGTCAAAAAAGGAGAAAATGATTGCGTCATAATTGCATGCGTCATCTCGATGTAACATTCTCTTTGAACCTGAGCCTGCAACATATATCAATTTTGTCGTTTTGAGAAACAACAAAAATGAATTCACCGTACCTTTCGGCCATATGGCCTTCATCAGCGTTATTTATTAAACATATAGATATAAGAAAAGGGATGTGACGTAATGTAATTGAGCGGCTCCTGTCGTGGCGTTGTCTGTAATCTGCTTTATTCTTTTGAGTTAATTCCGTAAGGTCGATATGTTCTTAACTTATTTTTTTCACAGATTTTCGATTGTCTTTCGGTATTGATCAGTCCAATATAAAGTTTTCGAGCCTATTAAGAAATAACTGCCTATGTGCCCGTTTGTGTTAAAATGCCTCACTACCGGATCGTTTTTCTTGGTATTCTTGATAAGTTCAGAAAATATCTTTGGTATAACGTATCTCCTGTTTCACCAACACAATGACCAACATATATATAACCTTCGCAACAACGCTTACAGTAATCTGCATATACCCCACTCTTCGATTTACATGTAACTCTATTACACACCTTGTACGAGGCCCCGGTCACACCAATACATGTGTCTGATTCAATGACAATAAGACGAATCGCACACTTTTATATTTGCATCTTCCGCGGGAATTTGGCTGTTGAAGTTATTCTTTGTAGTTGTTTAATGAACAAGAATGTCATGTAGATTATTGTCGGTTCTAAATGTCATAATTGGAGGAATTTGAAATATGTCTTGATTGTGTTTATTTTGGTAGGTGCTTGTGTACTATTTGTCATATATTTGGGAGCGCTCGAGAATAACGTCAGTACTAAAGGGACTTTTCAGTTTCTTTTTTCTGTCAATTCTCCGTTTCTTAATATCTACTTTATTAATTCCCTTTTAACATGTTTTTTCTCATAGATTTTTTTTTTGGGTTTACCCATATTTACATGAAAAAGCAATCGCTAAAAACGGAGGGGAACCCAAAAAAAGACATTTTTTTTCTACGGGGTGGGGAGTCTTTGTGCAAGTACATGTGTTAGGGGACGTGAGGGGCGTTGCACTTTTTCATTATTCATATAAAGACTCAATTTAACTGAGTCCACAATTTTCATGTAATTGATAAGTTGTAATTCGTGCTCCCGGAGGATGAAACGTTTTCTAGATTTTTATCTGTTGGTTAAGTGTAAAGATCAGTAACCAAAAAACACCTTGAAACCCCCTTTAGATGCTAAGGAATCCAAGTGTATGTAGAATACTTAAACCCACTGTATTTTGTGGTGTAGGCATTTCCCAAGCTTTGACTGATGATTTTTGGGCCTTTTTTACACATGGGATTAAAACTGTGAAAAGTTTCCCTATTTAAACAGGTGCACTTTCCCCCTTTTTTATTGCAACTTACGGGCATCATATGGGGGGGATTTTTAAATATTTGAGACTGAATTGTTTCAGAAGAACCCCTTGTAAATTTTTATAAATTTTCTCGTCAAAAAAAATTTTTTTATATGAATTTAATTTTTATTGTTTTTTGTTTATATATTTTATAGCGATGCCCAATGTCTGTGTTGATTGGTCGTTTGTAATCATTTTAAAAACATTAATAAAGAATTGCAGAGGGGTTCTGGAGTAAAAGCAATACAACAAAGAACAGTGAATAAAATGCTGTCTGGTTTTGGTACAATTACTCATTCATTTACCATGGCATTTATCGGTGAAAACCTCTTTCACACCCACTTTATCTCCACAAAATGCCACAAAATTTAAATGTTTTACGTATCTCCACAAAATGTCACAAAATGTAAATATTTAACGCATTTTGACGCCATTTTTGCTAACAGAAATTTAAAGAATATTCCGATGTGATCTAACACATCACGTACTTTATCATCTCCTTGAAATACGCTCTCTAGGACATTCTTGTTTATTGTGTCTGTTGTCGTTTCTTTTTAAACGTCATTCACTAACTCTTTACAGACGGTATCGTGTCACTTAACTCAAACTCCACGTTTGTTGTCCTTTTTCTCCAAATGTGCAGATTTGTGCTGATATTAAGCTCAGCTGAAAATATGTTGTTGTCTTGAACTGTCAACGTCATGTTTCTCGTTCCAAATATTAATGTGCATCAATATGTATGTTGAAATCCGAAGAAATACCACAGAGGCGGGTCAACGTATGACAATAATCAGTTTCAGGAATGCCATCTATTAATAATATGAAAAGATTGCTTTTAAAACCAAATGACTAAGTCAGATTATACATCGATTGTTTCTATTAAGCTAATGAGGCAATTGATAATCAATTGTGTTTGGACTAGATCAAAGATGTCCGGAATAACATAAAGTAACCTGCCTGAATCAATATATGTTTATAATGCAAGTATACTTGATAAGAAACAAAGACCACATTATGTCTTTAATGCTAAAATGAGATATTCACATTGCAATTTAAAAAATTATTATAAATCGAGATAGGACACAAAATTATGCTTAAAAATGATTTTGAATTTCTGTAGGAACATTGTTACTTTTAAACGATGTTAAGTACATATATGAGTTTTTACGAAACTCCCTCGAGAGGTTTAAGAAACATAATCAAAATAAGATTCTTTCACGTCATTTGAATAAAATATTTCGAAAATCTTCGTAATAATGTAATTGCCTTATTACTTGATTGTGTCTCCTTATAAGGCGGCTACATGTAAGTACGGAAGCATCCTGTGTGTAATGTTTTTGCAATTTGCAAAGCATTATGCATGCATAAGTTTAAATATGAGTTTTACTTGGATTGAACAAAGTTAACCCGTACTTATTCCTTTTTATATATTAAATATAACTAAATGTATATAATACAGAATCATATATGAAGAGAATGACATCTTTAGTGAGTTCAATTTTTGGAACTAGTTTTACTGCTCAACAATGAATCAGATTTTAGAGATTCGTTTTTTCGCTCAAAATCATCTCTGGCTTCAGAATAAGGATATTTACAAAAACCGCTTGCGCAGTAACAATTTTAGCAATATAATTTATTTCCCTATGATATAATGCTACCCTATGTTATATTCTAGGTAGGAGTTTTAAACTCCTAGAAAAATTAAAAGTATCTTAACATGAATTGTGGATTTTCCTTTCCTGCTGAATAATTTCATATCAGAACATAAGCCGACTCATGTGATTAATGTTGACTACAACTGAGTGCTAATTTGATAATACAACCAAATATATCATTTCATAAATTCTGCTAACTCGATAAAATTGCAGGCTTAGTTTGAACAAGCATATCCAAGAACAGATTTCGTACGTTTTACCTAACCAACTCGCAAGGGCTCCAGCTCTGGTTTAGGTAATCGTGATAACTTAATATGAACATAGTATTATGAATTGTAAAATTTATGACGATCATGGAAGGTCGTTAATATCAACACGATTTTTGTTTCATTTATTGTTCAAACACTTATACTTGAAAAAGATTTTACATCATACAATAAGCTTCATGCCTCTTGTAAGCTATCTCTGATACTATGTTATCCTCCCTAAATGTTATTTTTTGTTTAATTCCATCAATCTTTTTCGTTAAAAAATATCGAAAGTAGAGACAAAAAACAAAACAAATAGCATTTATCGAAAGTAGAGACAAAAAACAAAACAAATAGCATTTTTTTCGCGACCATAAGACACATATATTAGGACATCATACTGTATGCCGCTAAATAATGGAAAAGCTTAATAAATTGTCATATTGAATATTCCTATTGTTTTGCATTGTATAAACACAACTATATAATTATGTTTCTAATCACTATATGATAAACCTTTTTATGTTAAGTTTTTCTTATGTCCGTGTAAGAGAGGTGGAACCGATAGCTTGCATTTGCCTCTTACATCCATGAACGGACTCAATCGAATACCATTATGCATCATGTCATTTAAGTCTTGTTATTACATGGCTTTTTTGTGTTTTTTTTTATAATTTCAGGAAAGAAAATCGAAATGCGGTAATCCTTTCTGCAAGCTTCATACAAAGATATTTCTTTGCGATCTTGGCTTTGTCATCTCGTTCCTTGTAGTATACATTCTCTTTGTAGTGCTGTATGTGGTGAATTGGCAACAAAAACTATAAAAATGGGCGCGAATGATGTCACCCTTTCCTTCTCTTACAAGATCGTCCCCCTTTTCTCGGAATTTTAATCTGATTAGGCTTATTCTATGTTAAACTGGGAGCCAAATTGATATCCAAACGGCTTAATCATAATTCTATTCAAAGGAACTTGACTGACGTTCAAAGAATAGGAACATAAATTAAAATTTCTTACGTTAATCAACTCGGACATTTAAAAAATTAAGGTAACTATGTTATGTAACATAAATCTCATTCCATCACCGTCATGTTAAAAGAACATAAGTGGAGTACTTTTATAATTATTTTTAATAATTTCTATTAAAATCATTTTAGGATCAAAACGAAAAACAAAATAAACAAATAAAATTGAAAACCAGTTGTACTATTGTAAGAAATGAAATAGTGTAATAAAACTTAGCATATAGTAAGCGTATGAAGAGACCTGACTTTTAATTGTTGTTGGATCCCCCTAGGTATAAGGTCCAGGCCACTGTTAGTAACAATGATAAGGGATTGTTATATTTTTACACAAATATTGCATGATTATTTATAACTTTAATTCAAATTTTGCAATTTATTTGCTACATTATTATCTAACTTTTCTATCTCACTCTCTTCCTTTTGAAATGGTTATTATATGATTATTCTCCTAAGGCTATTTATTATTACATTTATTGGTAAATATCTGAAACATCAAAAAAATAAGGTCTAATTAAATTTTTCCTTCAGACTTCTTACTTTTTGAAAAAGTAAAGGTGGCAAGCGGGGGTCTGAATCAGCTTTTAGTGATAGCTTTAGTTCTGAC